AAACAAAGTTTAGATACAAACGCGTTTACAGCAGGAGGCCTATGGACTAAGGCTTGGTTCACACTAGGCAAGAGCAATGCTACTACGCGTGGCATCGCCTGCGTGTACGTCCATTTGTATTGCTATGTTATAAACTAAACGTAGGATGAGAACCCCAACCGCAAAAACACAAGGGTTTGCACTTCCCGTCTCACTTCACAGGTCACTGAACTACGAGTTACCATGCACAAAGGAAGCTAGCTAATGCTTTTTAACCCAAAATTAAAAGTCTACTGTAAACATAACATATGCCTTTATTACGGTATAGGCCTAGTAGTACAGTAGTTGTAAATTCCATAAAATTGGGCTGAGGTGGGTGTTGAAACGTCTGGTACTCATCTCCAACCCACAAAAATATTTGATCTGCTTAAAATTGAACGACATAATGGAAAATTTAACATTTCAAAGTCTGAGAATGCTATTTCCAATCATGGCGGGGAAAACATACTAAGTTGGTGATTTAAAAAAAAATTAACGTCAGTCTTAAAGACAGCAATTGCCTTCATCAAACCCCCTTTACACAAGGATTGCTATAAGTTTTCTCTGTTCCAAAGAACGTTGGCTGAGTGACACTCACCAACGGATGACCGACAAGCACCCTCAATATCAAATTTTAAAACTAAACTAAATTCTTTGGACAACGCCAATACTATTAGGGGCCCATTTCATGTAAGGCTCAGTCCCATGCACCAGCATACGTGTACATTCCTGCTGTGGAGTTCATGCAGTACCGGTATTTCACCAGAACCAGGACACAAAAAACAAAAAAAGACCATTTTGTTTTTAGTCTAAAGCCATGCACTCACTGCGCCCGTCGGCCGACGCGATCCTTGTAGAACGCAAAGTCAGACGTGCGCAACGCGTCGTTTTTCCACAGACATATAGGCCTACATTTTATTATACACAGTACCGGTAGGCCTATTGTTAATTAGTGCTGCTAAGAATTTTTGAAGATCCGTTCAGACTGCCACCGACAATAAACAGACGAGTGGCGTCGTCTAGCGCTCACAAGGAGCGGCGTTTGATTCGTCGTACGACGAGCCTATTTTCAAATTGCCACACTCTTACCTTTCTTTTTCAACTCAGCTCTATCGACCTCTTACTATTTTCCAGGGAACAGTGAAATTACAGTGTAATTGGCGAGGAAACATTTTCTTGGTCATCACTTTCAATTAAACACTAATAACTTCGAATAAATATATAAAGTAAACATTTTAAATATTGAATTAAATTTTTAGGGTTTTCAAAACTAACACAGATGTACAACAATTGTTTTTTCACATCTATATTATGGTAATATAATAATCAAACATGTTCACATCTATTCCAGATACACACATCTGTCAACAGTTATTGATACATCACATAGCCTACCAGATCCGTTAATGAGTGCCAGTTGACTAATATTAATTGAACAGCTTTCGTTGTATCTCTCATGTGTTGCCGAGGACATTTTTTTATTCCGACTCAACTGGGGTATTCGTGATCCAGGATCATGACCTCCCTATCACTATTGTAAAAATTGATTTGTGCAAGCTGAACCAGATGGAAGTCATTGATCAATGGTATTATTGAATATTACGAATTTGAATGGATTCATAACAGATTATTGGGCAAATGTCTCATCGGTCATCAACATCAGCTGATTAAGATTCTTGATTTATAATCAATAGCGTACAGCGTTGATCGTTTCCGCTTTTGTTTCCCACAAACCTCAACACGAGTAAAAATGCCACCACATCAACGACTTGAGAGATTTGAAAGCCATGAAGTCGAAGAAGACCCTTCAGAAAAAATCCGACGGGTGTTCGACAACGGGATTACATTTTCATGTACATGTTTCCTCATTGGAATGGTTATAACTATTATTTCGACGATTGTTCCGAAAGAGCATCAAATGGACCCTGGCGAAATGTCGGCAGGGGAGTACGAAGCCCTCGAGGCGAAATTTTATCGCCTTAGGTTAGCGCTCGATATAACACTTATTGTCGGATTGGGATTTATTTTTATAGCCGGAACTGCGATGTCCACAATACATATATGGGCTTTCTGTAAATATAATTATATATGGACACTAGAAATTGAAGATGAACCAGAAGAGCATGAACTTCAAAGATGCCCAACTCCAACATACGGTACCATGAACCAATGATGAATTTGTCAGAACATTCTAGAGAGGGCGCACCGTACTTAACAAACAAAAGATCTTTGCTCAAAAAATTAAAAGCATTTTCGATGCCACAACCATTATATTTTCTCTATGCTCGTACTTACGCCTACGACAACCTATCTTAATTCTGTATACCGGTGGTATAACATGGAGCGCGGTGTAGGCCTATGTTATTTATGATGTATGTACGTATTATGTTTGAGCTTATCTGTGTCGGAGTATTTTATTACACAATAATATTTCATAGGACTTTAGTCGTTGAAAAGCTACAGGGTAGCCTACGATGTTCCATCATGTACTTATTAAACACTGTATATGTACCTTTGATGATTTATATTATATTCATTCAGCAGTGTTAACGGCTAACTTCCTTCAATATCATATAATACGACAGTATTTCTAGCCGTATTTCCAGCCACCCCTGCTTAAATACGAACAAAACAAAATTACTTGAAGTATAATACGTGCAGGTCTCCCTCTAATTAAAGACCACTATGAAATAAATACTGTTAATAAGTTAATGCTGTTTTTTGTATAATAAATTTTGTTATAGGGCTTAAAACAAAAATATTAGCCAAAGAACATCATAAGGTGGTGTTTTGTGTTTTTTTTTTTATATAATCACTTTTTAATATATTATATTTATCATTTTATATTATCTAAATATCGTATTTTCATTTGTATTAAGATTGAATTGTGTAGCGATAATGTTGGTGGTGGTGTTAGTAATATTTAATGGAAAGTACAGGATTTCAAAGAAATCCTTTATTAAGAATAAATAACATCATGCAGTAACAGTACATAAGTACTTTTACGAATTAACAAGATAAAACTGCTCCATCGCAACTACATTTTCCACATAAAACTGGACGTGGAACACCGGCATTCCTAATCATACCGAAGAACTTAATAAGAATATGTCCAACGGTAAAATCATGTAAGAGGCCTTATTATTCTGTCGTTTTCAACAATTCTACTAGTACTAGACATAGGCCTAATCTACTGGCTAAAAACTACCCCTCAATGAACCGGGTTCTTTTATTTACAAAGAACGGGTCTTTGGCGTTCTCGGCACGTTGATTCCGTGCCAAAGAACCGCTCTTTAGGATTGAAAAAAAGTTTTTTTGTAGGCCCTACTGCCAAACAGAATGGTTCTTTCTCAGCAGTAGAAACAGGCCCTTCACATTCATGGATGGTTTTTGGCAGAAAACTGAAAATTTCCCCTTCAGGACTATTTTAAAATAAAAGATTTTAGTGAAGGTGTATATCTTTGCTCCATATTGAATTCAATAATTGTCGCCTCTAAAACCTTTATTGAGGGCTCACTGGCTGTTTAACAGGCCCGTCGGCAGGATTTTTATTGGGCGGACGCAAATTTGTAGAGAGTGGACCAAAATGGCTCTGGGTGGGGGAGAAGGGGTGCCTAAAAGGGAAAAACCATGCTTGGATTAGCTCGCCAATATCCAACGGTAAAATCATGTATGAGGCCTTATCATTCCGTCGTTTTCTACCAATTCTACTAGTACTAGACATAGGCCTAATCTACTGGCTATGTTGAACGTGGTCAAATTAGTCCTCTATTTATGTTGCAGCTAAAAACTACCCCTCAATGAATGGTTCTTTTATATACGAAGAACGGGTCTTTGCGTTCTCGGCACGTTGATTCCGTGCCAAAGAACCGCTCTTTAGGATTGAAAAAAAGTTTTTTTGTAGGCCCTACTGCCAAACAGAATGGTTCTTTCTCAGCAGTAGAAACAGGCCCTTCACATTCATGGATGGTTTTTGGCAGAAAACTGAAAATTTCCCCTTCAGGACTATTTTAAAATAAATGATTTTAGTGAAGGTGTATATCTTTGCTCCATATTGAATTCAATAATTGTCGCCTCTAAAACCTTTATTGAGGGCTCACTGGCTGTTTAACAGGCCCGTCGGCAGGATTTTTATTGGGCGGACGCAAATTTGTAGAGAGTGGACCAAAATGGCTCTGGGTGGGGGAGAAGGGGTGCCTAAAAGGGAAAAACCATGCTTGGATTAGCTCGCCAATAAGGCCAGACTTTTTATATACCTTGTTTCACGAACTTATTTTTTTAAATGTCGTCAGAGGACGGCTGGCAAAACAAACCCCAAAATTTTGTTTTCTTATTTAGCAAACAAGTTTTGCAAAAAACATCCAGACGAAGGAGAAAATAAAATTAAAATACATACATATCTTATTATTGGAGATTTCAAGGCAGCGGCAGGCATAATAAAAAGAGAAAACAATTATTTTTTTTATGAAATTTTCATTTTTCGTGGCGCTAATTGGCCAAAAATTATTGTTCATTCGAAATTAACGAGGTATAAAAAATGTCTAGCCTAAAGGTACGCTATAAGTTGATACATATTTTTTTTAATGCAACACCTAAGTCGTCTATGAAAAATATGATACTGTACAAGGCATAAACATCACATGTTTTGATGAGAATTTTGTGATATAATGCCTTTGTTTTTGACATGATTTATTTATTTATTGACTAAATGGCAAAATGCATTGATCAAATAGTCTGGTCGAGCGAGCTTAAACGAGATAGGGGCGTCCTATTTACAAACGCTTTTTACAGTGTTCCACTGTTCTTTTGAAGGACGCCCTCTAGTTCGTGGTAGCATTTTTTGAGACAGGAATTGCGTTCCAAACGAAAGATTGAGATTCGGACCTCTTGCAGTACTACCAAGGAGGTATAAAAATTATACCTCCTTGGTTCTACACTCTCCGCCCAATGAAACAAAAAAAAATAAGAGACAAGAAGGCAAGTTCTATTTTCACACGAATATCATTTACTTCTTCATTTAAGATGCTAAAATGGCATTTTGATTTTCTTACGCCACCATTTGATAACTAAACAGTATCCAGTTTACTATCACTTATTGTTAGTCGTATAATTTTTACAAATCATAATTTCGAAAATAAAAATACAATGTAAGAGTTGAAAGCATTTACAAGATAAGTTTACCTGGGGAAAAAAAAACTCCAAATAAACTGGCGAATGAAGAATAGTCATAATGTCTAAAATGCTTATTGTTACAACAAATACATAAGTGGTCATGTCAACAAAGTGTCAGAGAATCACAATGCAAGTGATTTCTCTATACAATGGTATGTGACGTAATGAAAGCTTTAACCCGCGCAACACGTAAAGGCACGGAAAATAATGCGCAATTTTTAAAATAAAGAAACTGTCATTAAATCGAAAATTAAAATATGAATGGGATTTTAAAATCATCTTAAATCCATTAGTGATTATACAACTGTATGATACATTGTGAAGATTATGTATGTGGAGATTAACAATAACATAATGTGTCTGATATGTTTGACAACTTCTGTAACTGGTAAAATTAATCAATTACTTTTAACCAAAAAACTAATTTTGTATTATAAAAATGTTCAGTCAAAAAAAAAAATCATTTTTGAAATATATTTTTGTTAGAGTTATATTATAGTAAAAAGACAATCATACAATACAAATATACCCTAGTATTAAGTTATATAATATTTACAGATGTAATATAGGCAAATTTCCAATATGTTTTTGATAGATCCATATGAGTGACCACTTGGACGACCTTGAACTACAAATCGGTTTACAAAAATGACAAGACAGTGATCCAAGTCCTGAAATTTTGTTATAAAACCTTTACATGTACTGTACTCTCCACTCCAACGTAAGATTCATAAAAAGTTCTTAGTCAACCAAAGCAAGCAACTAAATCAATTGTATATATGCAGATGAATTGAAAAATAAATTATAAGTTAATAGCCTGCAGCACCCATGAAAACCTGATGTTTTTTTTTTATTTTTGAAATAATCCTTAATTTAAATGAAAACTATGTAAAGTTTGTAAAACAAAATCTAAAAAAAAAAGAAGAAAAAAAAAAACAAAAACTAATTTCTGTTTTTACTGGTGGGATAAAACAATGGACAAGGAAATAAATGCATTCCACATCCAAAATAATTGGAAGACGCCTTGTTTAAGTCTAATCTGTAACTTAAACTAAACATATGCTGCAGTGAGTCTAATCTATAAACATATTACCAAGGTTTTCTTCAACGGCACGTACATCTTTTTTACATTCAATACTAAAGCTATGATGCTTATTTGCATAACAATATTATGAAGGTGGTTCAAAAAATTATTAAACACTAATATTTAATATTATGTTTAAACACTAAATTTAACATTGAAAAAATATTGACAATTTGAAAATATCTGCAAGTTATCTACACAGTTATCAGGGTATGTATGACAGGGATGCTGTACAAGACTATAAAAGCTCATTGTTTTCTCACACACACTCACAAAAAAGTTCTGAATGAAATATAATTATTACATAGAGCTGGCTCCATGATCTTATAACCAATAAATACAAAATTTAATAGCATATATAATGTATAATATAAATGACTTCTCTTTGTTACACATGGCCTGTATCTACATCTAAACTTAATTATTATAAATCGGAAATATAAATGATTAAAACCAAATATCGGGAAAGAGGTTCAACTTAATTTACCAGAAAATAAGTCTCCGGTAGTTTCAACATCACATGGCTGTGTCAAAGGTCAAGGCGTATCAACTACTAATCCTTTGAAAAAAACATTTTGCAAACAGAAGGCATAATGAATATTCATTGTGTACATGCTCTGTAGTGCCCCTATTTGTTAACATGATTTGAACTTCGACATAAACATGCAGCGTTGAAACAATGATACGGTTTCTTGTTGAGATGTTTGCTAATTGTTGGTATGGTTTTGCAAAATTTCTGTATTTTATGCATACAGAATCAGCAAAGTGGAACCTCTTTCAATATAATACTTATCATATAATAATTACAATGACTAATTTCAGAATCAAAATACCTTGTGAAATTAATTACTCTCATTTGATGACGATCTAACTTTGAGATGTAAAATGGTTGCATGTTGCCATACTAAGTATATCTTCTTTAAAATATTCAGTCATTCCTCAACTGCCATTTTCACACTTTCTGTGGCTTAGTAGACAAATTGTCATATTTAAAAAACAAACACTTTCTCTTTATCAATGGAATGATGGCCTTAACCTTGCTTTAGGTTAATTTGGAATGGAATTCATCAACTTAAAGCTGTCTTTGTCAAAATGCATTGTGGGTTATATTTCCTGAACACAAAAAACACACATATCAGGAACTTACTTACAACATAGAGAAAATGTTCTATTTTCTTTATGCCTATACCAGTTTACTTAATTCATTTTACCCCAATGAAACTGTTATTTTGTTCTTATAACATAGTGAATTCCAAACACCTGTCTGATAATTATAACTATTGTTATATTGTCTTTATCATTATTACTGTTACTATCAACTTAAAAGATAGTATTCACAGTAAGGAATTGCGCATTACATTTTTTACAATGATGATAACAATAATAATAGTAATAATAATAATAATAATATGATATTAATAAAATTACAATTTTGTAAAAATATTGTATTGAAAAGATTTTTATCATGTTGACAATAAATACAGTTCAGATTCAGACAATTTGTTTAATAATAAACTACACAGATGCAGAAAAACAAAACAATACAAGGTACTTGCAAATAATTTCATTAAATTATACTGAGCAAATGTATGTCATGTATGAATGCTTTATACATCTTCTTAAAATGAATATAATTTACTCATCAACAAATAATTTACACAAGAGTTTAGGTAATATTCAAGAATATAAAAACGCTGAGATTGTATTACCTTCCTATGTTTTACTGTACTTTGTGTTAAAACAATGACGTTTAATGACACTAGTATGACTTTCCTCAACCTGGTTATTTTTTGAAGCAATTCTTAATACCAATTTATTTGCCATTATTAACTTATTAAAAAAAAATAAATTAAAATATTTTCAAAGCTTGTGGAGGTTAGTGTTTATTTGCTGCTATCTAAAATGTAAATCTGTCAGTCAATCAATCACTTTTTTCTTTGCAAGTGCTACTTGACATGAATCTACAAAACGTGATGACAATTAGAAAGTATATGAGAGGACTGATGACAGAAGACTGGCAGAACAGAAGCAAGAAGCCTAATGGCAGAGAATGGATGGAACTTTTTGAGGTGGCTCAAAGGAAATAGTGGAAATACATGTGTGGTGAATGTTAATATTAATAAGGTTCTATTTGTTTTAAAAAATTAAATTTATCAAATTATGGAGTGTCTTTCAAAATAAAGCATAAACCTCCTTGAAGAATTACCAAAACAAGATTTTTATGTGTCTTTAGAACTAAATTATAACAATTGTTTTGCATTTTTTAATATTGTTACTGTTTTCAAATATTGTAACTGCTTTTAAATATTTTGTATTAATAACATACAATTTGGCATTTGGCCACTACTAGATGAGATTTTGAATAAAGTGATATATAATGATGTTATTTTGAGAGATCTGAGAAAATAGAGTACAGCTGTGTGTTTTTAATAAAATAAAAAAAAGAATGTTGTCCTAAATATGAATTGAAAAAAGTAGATATTTTAGGAGTCTTTAAAACTAAACAACTGATTTCATATTGAAGAAACTACAGTCTTGTCACTAAAACAGAAAACAGAATTCTAAATCATAAGGGATTTGAGTTTAAATAAGAGTTTGAAATTGACTTTTCCCAGTGACTTTCAATTCAATCCAAAACAAATTTATTTGAATGAAGTTTCTGTTGAGTTTTGTTGCACTTCACATCTATGTGCTTACTTCTAGTTAGTGCTCAAATATGCCAATGTGACACAGTGATATATTAAACGGCATTGAATTATGAGAAATAAGATTTAACCACAAATACAAAGTACATGTTTTTCAAAAATGTCAGCCAGAACATGACCGGAGTAAATTCCTCTATAATTTAAACGTACCACCTGTGTCACATTGTGTTTAGCACCGTCCGTCTGTGCAATCCCAGCAGATTTTGTGACTCATTTTATTGTACACCACATGGGACTATTAAGTCTGAAGTCTCTGTCATGCAATGCTTGAAGATATTCTTGCAAATAACATTCTTTTCATTTTTCATTTATATAATAAATTCCAATTGGTTAATGTTTCATTCTTGTTTGAATTGACAAGCAAATAATGTTCTGGAATGATTAAGTTAATCCACAAGATGCAGAAGGATTATTAATATTTCATTCATAATTTAAATCTCATGCATCTAAAATTTCTTCAAGCTTTCATGATTATGATGGCAAGAAAAATCAACTGTTTTATCAATTGAAAGATAAAAAACCCAATTGTTTTAGAAAACCATATACCATTTTTAGCTAGGTTAAAATCGTGCATATAGTATCAATGAAGCAAGGTGAAGTTAACGCACATCATATTATTGATTGCGATACATATTTAGCTGGTTCAAACTAGTTTAAACTGGTACAGTTTAGCCAGTTCAATCCAGTAAATGTAATTACAGTAGTACTGGTTTTAACAAGTTGATTTTTCATGCCATTGTATAATATATTTACTTTCTGAAAGACTTTGTTGCTTGAATAAACCGAGGTGATCTCGGGAGCCGCATGGATGCATACATAGACCTGTTTTTGAATGCAAACAAGGAAAAAATATAAACAAAAAACTATAGTACATCATAAAATCATTAAATTACATTTGAGTGTCAGTTGTACAAACAAACATCACTGTGTGTTTCAAACAAGATAAGAGTGGTAAATATCAAACCTATAATAATTTGAGTATATAGATCAAGCATTGATCTATAACATTCAGAAGTACGCCATTGATGTCATTTTAAAGTAAGTTACATCATTGAATCCAACAACTAATTTACCATTCCAGGAATAAAGTTGCCCCATTGGATTCAACTTCATATGTCCCTTTATCTGTTAGTTTTGATAATGGAACACATTAAATATTGATAAATCATACAATAAATACTATGTTTAAAATGTTGTCTTTTCACAGAAAAACAAGAATCCATCATTTTCAGATTTTAACAAAAAAGTAAGAAATACTGTATTAATATAAAAATTTCAGATTAAAGGGAGATTTCTTGTTATCAGTGAAATTCTTCTTGGTGAGTGCAGTATAAATGTTTAAAGGGATATTTCTCCATCCATAAAGCTAAGCCAGGTATGTTTCCAGATGAGTAGCTATCTCTTGAAGGAAGAGGAAGACTGAATCAAGTTCTTTGTTGAGGAGCTACTGGTGATTCTCATGGATTGGTAAGAGGCAGCTCTTGGCCTAGAGATAAACATATTCCATGTACATATGAGAGAGTGCAAATAATGCTGAATTCTAGTGGGATTTAAGCAAAGTGTTGTGCAAGATAATAGTTATAGTTTGTGTAGCTATTACCTGTACTAAATTTAATCATTCAAATAAGATATCCATAAAGTTATATAAAATGAAATTGTGATAAATGTAAAGTATGACAAATTTATAACATGCATAACATGGGGTTATAAAATGTTGATAACTTTTATAATATGCTATCTTTCTAAACACTACTATTACTGTGTATATTATTGATAGTTAATATAAGTTATAGAAATGGAATACATCATTCATTCAGAATCCTATAGGATCCTGTAAAAATAAATAAATAAGTAAATTGAATAATTATATATAAAATTAAAGTTCAAATTGGTATACTACTGCAAATCTGTAATTCCATATATATAAAAGAATAATTGTTAAAAAAGTAGAAAAAATGTGACAATTAAAATTATATATATAATTGTATATTTAAAAATAATACTAATATAAAAAAAAACCGCTTTCAAGCAAAACACGAAACGCCCAAAAACATCAAACTGAAAAACAAAAATTTACACAGAAATGACAAATAAAAAAAAATAAATAAAAAAATAAATCAGTAAGAGAGGTTACATATATGAAAGAAGCACTAATAAAGAGGCAATAATAAAGAAATGATAAAAACCCATCAACCATATGGGATATTAAAGATTTTAACCATCACCCTTGACAAAATTTCCACACAAAAATCTGCAAACACTTTGAAAAGCAATATAACATTTCCCACATAACTATCAACTGTATAGTTCAGAACAATCAGAAGTAATTAATTATAATGTACTGATCATTCAGGAACACACTCAGCATTCATTACGTTAACAAGTCAGGTATGGCAAATACCATGCACAGAATTAATTATACAATAATTAAAATTTATATTTATTATGGGTATGTGAATACTATATTGGTTTGAAGTTCTTAAGAGTGAATTTAACCAAAAAATGTGCAGAACTATCAGTGCTAACGATATACATTATACTATTATCATTTAAATTAGTAACTAATTAACAATGAATCATTTATTCATATTTAATTAGTGTCGAATTTATATTACATTCAGAACATCTGTGTTGCAACTTGATGCTTCCAACAGTGCACATCATATGAGGTAATAAGTATAACTAATTCAGGAGTCATTAGTAGTAAGGGGCATATTAAACATAATGCACAGCCAGTATTGTAATTATTTCATATATATGAATTTAAATCCACAACACTCCTTGTGTGGGAAGAGAGGAATATCAAGGAAAGAGATAAAAGTAAAACAATAACAAATTAATTGTAGGCATTTGTCCTGAATATTACATTATGTATATTAATATTGCAATTTAAAGTTGCATGATTTGATTAATGATGAAAAATATATGATTACAATGTTATATAAATATTTATAATCAAACAGGAAACACAGATTAACCAATGATGATTGTACTTGATTTATAAAATGTACAATTACTACAGGTAGTGTTTTACTCTAATGTGTATTTCTAATGTTATACATCCTATATAACAGCAATGGTGATGATGATGATAATAATAAATATGATATAATAATACTTATTGTAATTTACTTAAATAATAGTTATAATTTACCGGCTATTTTAATCATGTCATATAGCAACTGATTAGATTTTTTTTTTAATCTGAAAAATTAAATTCTGAAATCTACTGGTATTATATTATTGTAATTGATATTATTTATAATTATTTAGATCAACAAAAATTAAAAAAATAAAAACATGAAGAAAGCAATAGGTATATAAATGTAGATTTGGAGTAATATGAATTTGGAAATAAAGAATATTAATATTGAACTGGGGAATGGTGAATGAAATACAGATTTTTGAATATTTAAAACTGAGGGAAAAGGTGTAAAATTGGGCGGTTACGCCCCTTTCCCCCAGTTTAAATATTAAAAAATCTGTATCTCATTCACCGTTCCCCAGTTCTTCGTCAAACAACTTTTTTCTGTCTTAGAAAAATCAGTTCTACAACATATCAAAATTTTTTTTTCCCTCCGGAGCCTGACCTTAATATATATTGTTTACTACCAGCTATTTGATTTGAATGAGAAGGCTGGCACATGATATAATTAGGAATTCTAATGGTTACAACTGCTGATTTCTTACTTCATTACAATTATTGCTGTCTCTTATACACATCTAGATGTGTAACCACACCATGCTTAAAGGCTGGAATCACATGCTTTCATCAAACATCAAACTTAACCCCATTTGAATGACATTACAAGAGATCACAGGTGACATTATGAGAAATCACAGGCGTCATCTGGAGAGATACCGTATGGTGGCATTACAAGAGATCACAGGTGAAATCATGAGAAATCTCAGATGTCTTCTGGAGAGATACTGTATGGTAGCAATACAAGAGATCACAGGTGACATCATAAAACATCACAGGTGTCATCTTGCGAGATACCGTATGGTGAAATTACAAGAGATCACAGGTGACATCTTGAGAAATCACAAGTGACATCTAAAGAGAAACCATCTTGTGACATCACAAGACAAATCACAGGTGGTATTGCAAGAGATCACAGGTGGCATCAAGAGAAATCACAGGTGTCATATATGGAGAGATACCATATGGTGGCATTACATGAGATCACAGGTGACATCTTGAGAAATCACAAGTGACATCTAAAGAGAAACCATATTGTGACATCACAAGAGAAATCTCAGGTGGCACTGCAGGAGATCACAAGTGACATCATGAGAAATCACATGTGTCATCAAAAGAGACCACATTATGAATTCACAAGGTGATCACAAGAGCACAGGTGAAACTACGAAAGAGTACAGATGAAATCATGGAAGATCATTATGGGACATTATTGGTGACATCTTAAGATAAACTGCATATAACGTCAGTGGACAACTATTTCACATACACAACATAGCTATCACTAGTGTAAAATGTTTGCCAAAGCAACCTGAATCATAGCACATAACAAGAACTTACGCATCTCAGAAGGTGTTTATTTCCCTTGCAGGTATCTTGTAAGGTAAATGAAAGAAAAGTAGAAAAACAGGGGCAAAAGGAGTAAATTAACATAGGTAAAAACAAAAAAAAAAGGTCAAACATTATTTCGCACATAAAACAAAAATAATATGAGGTGGAGAAAGAAGTAAAGAGGACTTGTATTGGGAATATAAGATAAACAAATTTACATAATATTTAGATTAATAAAGAAAAGGAAATTTAAACTTGAAAAGTTACATAACATAATAACCTTGAAAATCTGACATTTCCATTCAAATCATAAAAGTAAATTTATTAGTCACTTTGGAAAAATAAATTACTGAACATATTTAACTTCAGATTAGAATTTATATAAATCAAACAATATTATTATATTGGATTAAAAATATCTATGATTGATAATAAAAATAATTACTAAAGTCAAAACTACAGATGCACAAACTGAAATAAAAAGTTATCTTTTAAAGATGAGCAACTAAAATAAATTATAATGTAGGTTTGCTCTCGTTCCACAAACCAAAACCGGTTTGCCTCAAACCTGTGACATCTTCATCTGTATGCCTGTATAAACAGCATGATGAATGTTCAAAATATCATAAATTTATAAATATATTTGAGTTAGTATTACATAAAATAAATGACACAAATCAAAGTTTGGTAGGGTTATCTATTAGATAAAATAATATATTTTTCCATAATTAATTAAAAAGGACATTGTATACATTTAAACAATATATTACATCTGACAAGTGCAAATTGAATGTATTTATTGGTGATAATGATATACTGTATTACCACTTGAAGATGTCTTACAGATGTTTAACACTTTACAACAAACAGGTGGAAAATCTGTGAGATACAAAAGTTGAATATTATAGGTGGCACGTACTGGGTCCTCACCACCTGATTTATTGTCACTGCAGAACTGCAGTTAGTTGCTGGCTGTGACTACCTTTCAACAGATATTGCTTAATTTAAAACGTTTAAATGAGAAACTGTATAAACATAAGACCAAATAAAATGAATTGCTAGTTTTACATCAATTTTTAGGGTCTCACGAAATTGTGGCGATCTGAAAGATTGTTGTCAAACTTAAGAGGTGGAACATAAATGGATGAATAGAGTACAATAGTCGTGTTGTCACAACACCAGGTGGCGCCCTTTGTTGTCAACCAGACGTTGGTTACCGTTCATTACGCCTAAATGACTTTATAATCTTAATGGTAGAATAAGCTTTCTGGAATAGGCATTTTAAAACCTAAAAATTTACCATCAAAATGTACAAAAACCACAAAAGCTTGCATCAATTAAAATTTACAAAGAAAAACTACTGTAAGATACAACATCTAATTACGTTAGAAATTGGGATCAATGGTTTGTCAGTGGAGAAAATGGCGTCTGGTTGAACATATTTTGTGTTACCGATAGCAACGGAGTAGTATCACATGGTATCGTGACGTAACACTGTAGTACTCTATAAAAAATATATTTATATTTTTTTAAAATATTTTTATTGTTTACCAGTCTGTTTACCTAGTATACGGGATAGTAATAACAAACAGTAAATGCCCTCACCAAAAATAACTTCAAATCCCCAATTAATTTGGCCTAAGGAAGACACATTCAGAAGAGACAGGAGTATGTTAGAATGGTATGGTTGATTTAAACCAGAAACAGTTAACTGTTGGAAAGTTGGTGGTTATAATGGGGATAACAACTGACAAAAATCTGCAGCTGCTGTGGAAGACAAACACCATGTACAAAGGGTTTAAATACTCAAATGGTCACATTTTCCATTGTGGAACTACCTTGAAAATAATTGATTTTTCCATACTAACTTGTAGTATATAATTGACAAACACCATGCTATCATCCCCATTTTCATTTTAGCACTTCACTATGTATGATAGTATAGTATAAGCATATCAAATAAGCAAAAAACAAAATGAGGACAAAAGTGTCTTGGATATCAATCAAAATATATGGTGCAATGGGATGAAAGATTCCATTATTTAAGGCAAGTTCTGCAAAGAACTTCGGAATAAACCAATTTTATCAAGACGAATATTTAAAAATAGATTAGAAATAATTAGATCTAACAACAACAAATATATTTAAAAAAACTTAAAAAGCATCTCTTAGAAAACTAGCTTGGGATCTAACAACTACAATAATGATGCATTTACATTAATGTCTACATAAAATACTGGAACAGCTATGTTAAACTTATAACTTACTTATACCATGGACCTATGCTTATTGGCCTACTATAAAGCCGGACACCCACTGCGTTGCACGACGGTCGTCGCATGACGAATCCACATTTGCTTCCGGCGAGCGATAGACAGCGCAAGCCGTCTGCTGATTGTCAGCGGCAATCTCAACGGATCCTCATTAAAAAGACGATCTGCTGAGTCCGCGTCTTCGCGCGCGTTTTTCGTTGCGTCGCCGTCGCACTTAGTAAGTAGCTGGCTTAAGAGATATTTGGTAAATACTATAGATTGCGGAATTTAGTTATGAGTCTTAACAAGCTGGTCCTGTATTTATTAACTGTTCCACTAAATGGAGCATGCCATCCAAAAACCAGGGTACTGTGGCTATATATTAACTGGGTAATTAGTATTTAGAATGTAGTAGTACTGTATACTTTAGTACAGAAAAGCCAACATTTATTGATTTCACTTTAGCAATATGAATTTGATTGCAAAAATGACTTATCATTTATGTGGAAAATATGACTTAAAAAAATTCATTTTTTTGGCCATTGATGCTTGCTTTTGGGATGGCGTGCTCATATGTTATCCCATAGAGGTATAAAATACCTCCACGGTTATCCTAATTAAACAAATTATTACCAGTAGGTACCCATGTATGAAAACTACATGAAGGTGGGCAATTAGCTATGTTAGTAGAGTAAATAAATAACTTGATAAAAGCTTACCTGGGAGAATTATATGGTAATGTTTTCACTTTGGAGGGGATTTTACGACTTAATTTCTTAATCCACAGCTGTTGTTGATCCTTGTTAGCTGCAAGCACAATTAGGTTTCTTGCTGTGTTGACGTCAGTTGCCACTGAAAAGTTTTATTGTAAGTTATAAAAATACTCTCATATGCAATACATTTGAAACAGTTTCTATCAGATTTGAGTAGTCAGGACTGTTTCCTGTGTTTGGCTCGCAGAAGCAACCGCTTACATTGGCAATTAAATGAGTATTAAAAAAACAAATAAACATGTAAAACACAATTTGTAAGCAAATGAAGATGTTTATGTATTACATGGCATTTACAAAGCAAGATAGATTTCAATATTTTTTTGAGAGGTAAAAACTTTGTATTTATTTATTGCCATATCCAGGTAGGTAATCAGGAAGCAGACTTTGAAAATATGGAATTTAAAATTTTAATACATGTGAATGATCATTATTATATTTAATATTGAAAAACTGAATAATTTACCTTTGCATGGAGGAATAACTTCTTCACCTCGATCATGATGTTCTTTATGAAGTTTCATGTTACACACTGAAAAAAATTATAATTTATTACATTTTCTCAAATATGAAAAAGAATTAAATAAATACTAGCTTCAGAAATGCTATGCCACAAACATTGCCATAATATGCATTGTCATCATTGGTGTTAATTAATAATACATATTCTCTGGTGCTGTGACAATGAATGGAGGTTTCAATCAATTTTGCAACTGCTTAGAAGATTACTTGTACGAATCTTCAAAGCAATTTCAGTTAGCACATTCTCATTAAATCCAAATTGTCATTGGGCAAGTAACTCTATTTAAATTTTCCTCACCCTATATAAATTATCCTGTGGAAACGACACAACCAACATGGTTGACTACATCCAATACTTCAACTTTCAGTTCCAAACAATATGACAAATTGTTCCTCAATTACCTTCCTCCCTCCCTACAATAATGATTTACTTACATCGGCATTCCAATGCTGCTGGGGGTCTGACAATACTACTCAGAGGTTTGTTACATGACTCACAACTTGTTGGCATGTGGAAGTACACAACAATGAACTCATGGTTTTTGAACTCAACAATATTTGCTCTGTCCTGTAAAACCAAACAAAAATCAGTCAATCAACCCAGTTATATACCACCATTCGAACAGTCATTTTCTTGGAAAAAAGGAAAACGAAACTTACGGTCTTTGCAACAATTGATTGTCCCTCTTCCTGTTTTCGACACTCCCCTTCTCCAGCGTATAAGACTTGGAAGATGCGTGGTACGTCCTTAATATCTGCTCTGATAACATCACCGTGGGTCACTGCACGAACATGGTACAATTTGCTGTTTGTATAACATTAAACAAAACAAACATTTTTAAGTATAGACTATTTTATCGGGTGTATTTTAAAACAGCGCTGCCAACGTCTTGCAAATCAATGGGCGACTTCCATTGGCCTAGCCTAGCAGCTGCCTAATGTGTCACATAGAGCACCGCAAGCCATTAAGGCAAAATTCTTGTTTAACTTCCAATCAATTTGGTATAGTTTAATGGAAATTATGATCTTTACAGCAATAACAAGGGATGGCCGCAAAAGCAATCTCCATGTAAAACACTGCTGTGCCAGTCGATTGTTTACATCCAATACCCAAGTTAGGTCACGTGACAGCCATCACCGAATTGGTCTATTACGGCAATGAGTCAATGACAGCTGTAAACAAAACTGTAAATAGCAAGCAAAATAATTTTATAATTATAATATAATAAAAGTAAAATTGTAGCCACATACTCAAGATCCAGCACCAGTGTTGGTGTATTAGCTGTCTTGTCATCCTCGTTGTTGTAGAACAGCATTTTCTTTGTACTGACGACTACATATTTTTTCAACCAACCATGTTTCTTAATGTTTCCCTTGTTGGGGATTTCAAGCCAACCTTCTAACCTTGAATCTAGTTGGGAAAAGAACAAAAATTTATTCACGCGAATCGACAGTGTCGGATCGCTTTGTGAGTTCTGATTGGTTGCACATTTTTTCGCTAGCAAAATCTCTGATAGAAATGTGAATGCACAAGCGCATAAGCCGACGCTTTCCCTTCGAGCGAATAAGTTTGCCGAGTGGAAAACTAAAGTGTGGGTTCCAGAATCCAATCTAATCTTTTTTGCCATGAAAGGTGAAAAACTGTTCTGAAACTGGGTCACTAATTAAGATTAAAATTACAGTACTTAGATTTTGATTTAATATAAAGGTAGATGAATAACCCATAACTGGTAGCATCAATGTGCTGAATTGTGTATGGGCGTTGTCTGTGACTGTCTTGCCATCGTATATAGGCGCTTATAGTAGCTTTATGTCAAATCATTTAACAATGACAGGGGCATTACTCTTTTGAAAGATACAATGGGTTCTTTAAAGTGCACACAAGTTATATGTGTACACTGGACCTCCATAAGTCCTTATTCGAGAAGATTTGTTTCTACTAAACAAACCCTGTACGACCATACACCGCGCCGATGTTAAAGGTTATAGCTAACAGTCCCCCTACCTTTACAGCTAGCCACCCAACACTTACCCTCAGATTCAATATCATTGACACTGTTGAGACTGGTAGAGTCGAACTGCAGCAACTTAAGTTTGTTCTCCATTACTTCCATCTCACTCTCTTTGCTAGCCAATTCCATTTCATTTAAGTTACGTTTCTGTAGTTCTTCTTGGTAAGCCTGAAATTGATAGTAATAATAATAATGATGATAATGTCATATATTTGTAGTGAATATTGTCCAATGTTCTATGTACTTTACAAAAAAACACAAATAAGAGAAATAATAGTGCTAAGTACAACGTTATATGCTAATTATCAGTTTCAATGCAATTCTTATCAGCCAGCCCACCATGGTTCAAGCAAATTTTAGGCGGCACTAGATGCTTTTAAAAAAAAAAGTACTGTCAGACTGTGAAAATGCTTTTTCCAAAATAGTTAGCTTCTTCCCCAAAAGAGTCTGGTTGGCACTGGGCCGTGGTTTAACAAACTTACCACTTGCATATCTGACAATTCCCTTGTATACTTGGTCACCATTTTACCATACTTTTCCTTCTCTTGATTCAACTCTTGTTGTAGCTTACGGCATTCTTTCTCCTTCTTTCTGAGATCAGCAGAATTCACTTTGTTATTTTTCTTGCTGAAATCCTTTCGGTTCATTACTTCAGCTAATTTGTTCACAGCCTTTTAAATAAACAGAAATAAAATTTGGATGTTATTGTTATTAATCAGACTTAAAAATTGGTTTTAGACTGGTGTAACAATAGCCACTGCTAAATAATAATAATAATATATTGTCAAGTAAGTGCTTCACATTATTACCCCAGTCATTGAATGAAGTACTTATACCCTAAACTAGATCGTTACCAAAACATAATAATTTCTTCATTGTAACTTTGTTAAAGTTTCCTGAAGTTTCATTAAAATCAGGTGATCTGTTATTAAAATATCTGGCATGGAGTTTGACTTTAAATTGCTTTAAGTAGTCCCCACATCCACACCACAGTCCGAATTGTCACTAAATTTTATGCAGCACATCGTTAGTATATAGTCTAAGTTTGGACAAAGTTTGGAAAAAATCGAAGCATGCAAAGTGACCACAAATACCAAAAGATAGGAAAACTATAAAAAAAAAAATTAAAAAAAATCAGAACAAAAACAATGGCTTTTCCTGCTACTGCGAATAAAAGCCAGTAATAATAATTACTACCATTATATCAGTGGTATTAGCAAAAAGTTGACAGGTGAAGTATAATGTAATATAACAAAAATTTAAATCTCAATGTACACATCACAGTCTACCAACTTGGACCTGCTTGTTTTGAAGCAGTGGCGACCCCAGAAATTTACAGGCAGAGGGTCCAACATGTTCGACAGGAGCCTTGGCCAAGGCCCCGGAATAAATGCCTCCCGCTGTCACCACCACTGCTTTAAGGCAAGCACTGAAACCAAAACCCTTGTCCAGACTATCAAACTTAAATTTTTTTTTTAATGAGACATGCCTAAATATTTCTTCTTTTTGTTAGCTGCCTCCTTCAACATGCTGAAGCTTCTGCAGCTTGATGTGTGTGTTTGGCTGTGGGAAGGCTGCCTGACATTGTACATTCCAGTGTATTTTTGTCTTTCCAACCTTCAGACATCTCTTTGACTTATTCATTAATTATTGTACAAGAAATATGGTCATGATGACAACATATTATAACCATATATGGGCAAACAACAGTTTTCTTGTCAACCAAAATTTGATAGTCTGGACAGGGTTTCAGTCAAGAAAAATAAACATCCAACAACAGTCTACTTACCTGTATTTTTAGTTGACGTTCTTGCTCTAGCTGTTTCGTAAATAGTCCAATTTTAGATGCAGAGCTGGATGTCTGATTTATAAATAACTCTTTTTCTGTGAACATAAATGTAACATCACTACTATCAAATTCAATTATTTCAAATCAAACTCTGAATGTGTTTTAATACAATTTGGATGTTGAACGAATACATATTATATATATTGGGAAACAAGTTTAAATGGGTTTATCATTAAGATTGTCTTTAACATGCCTTTTGTCCTGTAAACATTTTTTTTCACAATTTAGTTTTTTTTACTGCAATGAAATTTATGTTGTAATAATATTAATTGTTTTTAAGAATAAAGATACCTTGATATAATCAAAATAATCTTTGAAAACCAATGAAGTTATTCTTCTAATACTTATTAATAACTATTACAGTTTATTAATATATTAACACAGAATGAAAACAATAGCATTGTTGCAGTGTTCACAATCAATTAACATAAGATAATTAGTGCTATTATCCCAATGAATTGTATGCAGTCATTTCGGCCACAAAGCAGACTAGAAAAATACACTAAAATATGTTTCACATATCGCAGACGAACTGGTTCATGGCCAAAACAGTCCAGTCCTATGCCATTAAAATTATGTTCTAAAGCACTTTAATCAAAAAAGCAGTGGACAATTGACTGCATAATCAATTTTTATGAAGGGGTGTTGTCTTCTAAGTAAAGCATATAATTACCTTCAACTGCATTCTTCAACTGCTGGACAAGGGTTTCTTTCTCAGAGGTTGCAATCGACAATTTATCGTTCAATTGGTTGTACCTTTCCTCAGCCTAGTTGAAAAAATAAAAACACAATCGATATGTCAAGTAGGGTCTTAGTTTAAAAACTGATTGGTGTTTCTTTTTTTAAATGATTATACACATATGTACAGTAAAAACGATTTTCCTTTGAATAATCCATTGAAAACAGCAGAATAAAAAACATCAATTGCCTTGGATAACACAGAGATATCAGAGATATCTTTACTAAAAAAGCACCAAAAACAGATTTTGAACAGTATTTGAACTGCTTTCAAATGAGTACTGTTACAAATGAAGATACACAGACATATAAATGCATCAACTGTTTAAAAAAGCCAACCCAAAAAACGATGGGATTTTGTACCTATGGTATTATTAATGATATTAAACAAAGATGGCTCCAGTTGGAGGTAGGGGGAGGATCAGAGGGGGTAGGTTGGAAGTTATCTTAGCTATTGTAGGGTACAGATGTATAGCCCCCTGGAAGCTCTACAGTTTTATATATGAATCTCTTATCTGATTTCACACTTGGCTTAATATTTTTTTGTTAATAGGGGATACCAAACACACCATTAAAATTTTAAAATAAATTAACAAAAATGCACTCACTTCTTTTCGAGAACCTTCCAGCTAATTAAGGTAGAGGCATGCAGAAATGAATTAAAAAAAAAAAAAATTTAATGTTGTAAGAATAAAAGCACAAATAAAGTAATCCATACTACTGCTATAAAAAAATTATATTTCATAGACAATTTAAGACATTCTGGCAGTTTCAACAGCTCATGGCTACTTCAAAATCAATGCACATCATGCATTTTTATATCAGGTTATTACTTAGCGCTACTGAACCTGGATATTGGCACTACACAAAATGTTGATTGATTGATCGATTATGTTATTATATAATAAATCCTTGTGGAGCCATGGGGCTCAGGGCTAGAGCTTACTTATCCCCAGTTTCAAGTAGTGTGAAGCGAATTAAGAGCATGATGCTCCCCCTGGGTGGGACGCTGGAACACTGCAGGTTATTCTCAGCAATTCGCAGGTAGCCAATTACAGCTGGGTAGACTGAAGCAATGCAGAAAAAGTGCCTTGCTTAAGGACAAAAGCGAAATGCACAGCGTAGGATTGAAACCCTGACCTCAAGGTTGGGAAACCAAACCATTTCCACTCGCCAAACCGTCCATATATTATGTAGTAGTCGAGTATTGCAACCAATTTTCAAAAACTTTAGGTTAATATCTAATTGATGGTAAATGATACTGGCCTTGACCTTTGAGAGTCATTGCAGTTGAGACTGTAAGAGAGCTTATAAATTTCTTGAAAATTTAATCAACTATAAAATAGTATTTATGATAATTAGAACATAGATGACAATCATTAACTGCATCAAAAAAGAAAAGATGAAAGTAATTGTGGTATGTAATATCATTAATGTATATTTTTCAGTTTCAGTAACTGATATTGAACATAGATAAATAAAATGTTAAAGGACTAAATAAATAAAAATACAAGTTTTAAATTTTGAGCAGAATAATATATTCATAAAACGATACTATTTATTTATGATAACTTCATTTTCTTTAAAGAATCTTTAAAGAATATCATAGAATCTCAACAAGAAAATCTCTTTGAAAGAAAATGGTTTTCATTAATTGAATGCTATCCTCATAGTTGACTATTATACTATGAAGGCCGCATTTGGATATGATTTGCCAGTAATTCTGAATTATACACACTTTGCTTATTTGGGTATTTTTCTCGTTTATCTCTGCTTTCTGTCGCTGTCGCAAGTCTCTGATTTCCAGCTCCATCATCGTCTTCTCTTTCTCAAGTTCTGAATACTGCTCCTCTGCTATTGATCGGGCAAGCTGCTCCGAGTCGGCTTTGGTTAGGGCAAGCTCAAGCTGGGCTGACAGCGAATCCCTCGAAAAACAAAAAAATATCAAGTGATGATGGTGGTAATGAAAATTTGAGTCAATTATAATCAACAAATCAATCAGACTGAAGTCACATAAAAGAATAAATAAATTCAGAAAATACAGAATATATGATTAGCGGCACAACCAAAAAGGCAAAGATTAAACTATTGAGGGCATACTTCTCCATGCGGAATGAAATGCTGTCTTGGTGGTATTTTTCTTTTAGTTTCTCAATCTCCTCTATTTCATCATTATTTTCCACGATCTGGTTCTTGTAAAGTGACTAAAAAAAACCAAAAAAAAAAACCATAGAAAAACTTAAGACGACATTAAAGAATCTACAAATGAAATTACTGTATTTCGAAAAATGATATAAAAATTAATGTAAAATACTGATAAATAATTATGTTAAAATAGCAATATTTACAAGCAAAACACACAAATGTACTTAATGTAACTGTTTTTGAAACTTCTATTCGTCTTAATTACTCCTGATATTGTATAATATTTTAAGCTAGAAGCATTATTTCTAATGTAGGATACAATCCTGCCACTAAAGGATGACTGTTAAGAAATTATTTATGAGAATTATAAATGTGAAAGAAAAATTATATAGCAAAATAAAAAACAAATTACAACAAAATCAATGAGTAACTTACTGTAAAATGTTGTTCAGTTTCAAGTTGTTCCTGTAACTCCTTGACTTGTAGCTGAGCATGAGAATAATTACTGTGAAAAAAAAACAGAAAATAAACTTATAGTGTGTGGATAATTATCTTTAGCATACATTAAAACTTGAGTTATTGGTGTTATCTATGAATTATTTGTAACCCACACCTTGTAATTGTATTAGTCATATACTGGATGAATTACATAAAAAAATTAACAACAGAGAAGGTGCTAACATAATATTAACACCTATATTATCTAATTGCATTATCACAATAACAAAAAACTGACAAGTGGATGATAAAACTGTTTAAGAAACTGAAAATGCTATACTACTGTATTAAAATTGTAATATCACTAAATTAAATATCATCAGAGGAAGTAACAAGAATAATGAGGAGCACATTACAAAATGTCTCTAACCTTGAACTCATTTTACTTCGAATAAATGAATTATTGTCAGAACATGTTGACCTTAAAAATAATATTAATTTATCACCTTCAACATCATATATATTTATTAGTAATAGAGGGAGTGATAACAGCAACATCTACATTCACTTACTATCTGCTTTTATCAACTTGTTCTGTCAACCGGTTTTTCTCCTCCCTGAGTTCTTGTAGTTCCTTCTTCATATTTTTCTCCGCCTTCTGCAGAGTAACGATCTGTTGCTCGAGACGAGATCGCAATTGTTTCTCGTTATCTAACTGTTTCTCGTATGCATTTAGCTAAAAATAGATGGTTTAATATTAAAATGTTATATCATACTACTTTACTACTAATGATAGCAAAATTTTGGTAGTACAGTAACATTTCCCAATTACGTATCCCTCCGTCCCAACAGAGTTCGTAAATGAGAAAGTTTGTAATCCATGGAGTTTGATTTTCGATGGCATCTCAGAGGTTAGGCCTATTCCACATTAGTAGTACAGGGATATGTAGGTGAGTTTATAAAATTGAGAGTTTGTAATTGGGAGGTTCATAATTGGGAGATGTTAAAAATCTGATGTTGCAAATGCATCTTATTAGTGTACCTTACTTATTTCATATTCTTTGCTAACAATAGATAATCATATTAAGCATATTAAATGCTTATTATGAGAGCAAATTTTAATTTATTGTTACCTTTTGTCTCATGTCTCGGTTCTGTTCTTCTATACGTTGCACCTGTGACTGATACTGTTGTTTCTCCAATTCTAGCATTGATTTATCTTTCTCTGATTCGTGCCATTTGCGCTCAACGTTATTACGGCTTGATCGTTCCTCGTCCAACTGTCGTTTTAAATCTAAATCAATGAAAAAAAAGGTACAGTTTGAGGCACTAAATAATTAAAAACAATGGTTGGAAAATTGTGCAATATATTTTGTGACATGTAAACAAAGAATAAATTTATAAGACAATATTCCAAACAAAGTTCCAGGTCTGAGAAAGTTTGATACTTCTACTAAATTATACACATTTAATATCTATCATTTGACATTTTCACTGTACTTAAAAACAATAAAATACTATTTTAATACATTATTTTCATTAATATGCATTATACCGGTTGCTAAGCAAGTATTTTTTGCAACTGTTCATCAATGAGTTGTCATTAACTCAAAATTTAATGAAATGCAGAATATAATTCAGAAAAAATAAAGAAGATATATATTAACTGTTTTACATATGTAAAGACTTAATTTAATTTTTATTCAATTTCCAGGTAACAATCCAACAAAAACATTACAATGAGAATACAATATCCTGAGGATTACTATGAGCGCAAGCATTATCAGAGTGGCTTTCCATATTGCATCCTTAAGTATTCTAAATCGAACATAAAAACTTTGTATTTGCATGTACACCTACCTGATTCATGCCAATGCCATACATATTTCATAGTCCTGGAAAGTATTGCCATGGTTTTTTGTGATGAATGTTTAATAAATAAAGTTATGTAAAAATCTATCTTAACTGTTTACCTGCGATTGTTACATCATTATTATCTGGGCTCCTGTGCATACGTTTCTTTTCGGCCTTTAATGAGGCAACCTCTGCCTTGTGCTCTAACTGTGTCTGGTCATACATTCGCTGCAGTGTTTTTAGATCATACTCACTATTGGCTTTGGACTAGAGGAGAAAAAACAGTCAAGACTAAAGTTGGAGGCAACACACATAAAGTGCGACTTTTTCATTGAAACAACCCAAATCCACAAATCTATTAGAGAATTATCTGTTCTGTTTGTGTTCTGAACCAATTAGTTGCTTTTCTAAAGAAAGGGACCGAAGTAGTTGCTGATACCGTTGCTAAGGAAAGCAACTAATTGGTTCAACAAAACAGATGTTTTTCCATAATTAACGGGGAAACAAATCTATGCTAAATATAACGTTACAAAGTACATTAAAGACAGTAGCTCAGTGATAAATTTGTGAAAGTTAATGTGTGGTCACTCAACCATGATGAGTTTATGTACCAGTTTCAATTCCATTGCTTATCTCCTTGTTTCACTAGAAATGGTGTAGCACTGAATGCTCAGTACTTTCCAAACAATTGGTAAAAAAAAAAATAACAATTGATTAGGATGGGAACCTCCAGAGTAACAATTCTAGTGGTACAATACCAGGCAACTATCTCTGGAGGTTTGGGCTGATAATCCTCAAACACTGATTAACCATACCTTTTCTAATAAAATTATACTTTCTTGAAGTTTCTGTTGTTCGGCTATTTGTCTGTTTTCTGTGTCTTTAATCTCTGATTGCAAAAATGATATCCGCTCTGAAAGAAACCATAGATATTTAAAAATGTTTATATTTTTATTACTACCTGCCGTCATCAATTGTATGTACTCATCACTAGACTCATCTGTCTTGTATTACAAGATTTGCATAAATTACCATACCACAATGTACAGAAACATAAAAATATTATTAAGATATTTTTTCTTAAACTCATTTACATGAATGAGATAACACTGGTGTTGATATTATTTGTGAATCTATTTATATTAATATATTAGCTTACCTTTTTGTTCTTTCTTCACTTCATTTGCATGAAATAGCATATTCCTTTCATCATCCAGGTTGCTATGTAGAGTCATGATATCTTTCTCTAATGCGTTCTTTGTGTCTGATAACACTCGGTTTTTTTCACACAAATCAGAGTGTTCATGCTCCAGGTGTGTGTGAGCCTAAACGAGGGAAAAAAATTTGCATACAATTTACATACAATTTGCATATGTTAGGCTTATGTTACACTTATATAGCGCATCATATAAACATGGTTTCTAAGTGCCTAAATAAATTATTACCCCTGGTCATTGTATAAAACACAATGGAACAAATACCCAGTTCCCTGAAGAGAATTCCATAATGTTAGAGCTGTAATCAGCACATTTTGTGTTTGAACATAATAGTACCCGATAGGACATTCAAACTGTCTATTAGATGACAGTCTGTTGCATGAGACAGCTTATCAGTAACATGAGACAGTTAATTATAGTGTGCAACAGTACACTACCTTTTGTATATCACTAAGTATCTTTTTCTGTCTATTGCTATTTTCCACCTCTGTCTGTAGCTTTTTGCTTGTGCTCTCAAGCTGTTTTTCTAATGAGGTAGCCTTCTCTGTCAAGTCGGGAGCTACATAATCTTTATAATGAACCAGTTCGGAAATACGTTGTTCAATTTTTCGCTTATTCTCAGATTCATATTCTGCTTTCCTTTGATACTACAAAAAAAAAAAATGACAAGCATAAAACAGTTATTTAAAAAAAAAATTATTGGTGGATCAACATCAGTTATCACCTCCGCCAAGGAAGTTATGTATTCAGAGAGCGTCAATGTCAAAAAAATTTGTTTTTTTACCTCAAGCACAAACAAATATACTGGAATCACCCCTTGTGTTCAGGCAGCGTTGAAGAAAACAATGTATACAGCAGGCGATTCCATTATTTCATTGAGGGTATGCTGCAGTTTTGCCCCATCATAAATGGTCTTCATATTGTTATTCAGGCACAGGGCAGAGGTCTGTACCCTATGCAGTGACTGCTCTAGTTTATTCATGTATTTATTATGTTGCCATCTTTGCAGTGACTTAAATACACAGTAATTAAAATGCTGTAAGAATCTGGTTTAATAGCGGGTATACCTTTAAAGAAATTAACAAAAAAATCAAACCTCTTTGACATCATGTCTTAGTTGCACAGCTTGTTTTTGAAGATCCATGTTGGCATCTTCAACTCTCCGTCTGTGTTCACTCTGCAAAAACAAGAAGGGTTGATGAACATGCCTTGGACTACATTACTATTATTTACAGTGACCACAGTGATGATACATAAGAAGTGACTATTATTAAATGATATTACAAAGAGGCGGATTTTTTTTTTTTTTCTGGTGTGGGGGGGGGGGGGGGGGCCTCCCCCCCGGGGGTGGCGTCCACCCTCTTGGAAAGTCAAAAACAAAGTAAAAAAATAAAGAAATAAAAAGAAAAAATTGATCACTCAAAATGCCTCAGAGGTTATTTTCAGGTGTCTAGAAAAAAAAAAATTGTGGGGGAATGCCAACGGACCCCCTAGTGTAGTGGTTTCTTGATCGACCCCACTTTCGGACATCTCTGGATCCGCCCCTCTTACCTTTACAAAATAATGTTTAGTTGACTATAGGCCTATAATGATAACAGCAAAATTGAAATGAATGTTTACCTCACTTTCTAAATCCCTGAGAAGTTTGTCGTGCTTGACTAGTCCGGACCGGTATTTGTGCTCATATTCGCTACGTGTTTGTTGCTCATGCTCCAGTTGCTCCGACAACTCCTTCATTTTCTTCTTGTACTCCTTTGAAACCTGATGAAAAAAAAAACAACACCAATTACATTACAGGAAGTATTTGTTAAAAACTCTTAATCATATAATTGCTGTTCTTGGTATATGTTACATGCTGCCATTGAGTTTAGCACCAACGTCATTATAAACAATCCATTGCGTCGCGGCGTTGCATCCTCCATAGAATCGTGTCAGCCGTCAACCGTCAGGAGTGGTCAGTGCCCAACTTAAGGCATAACGGACACAAATCAAATACTGTAAAAACCTTTACAGCCTATGCTATCTCGAAAAGAAGCCCATGGGCTTCTTTTCAAGGCTAATTTTGCAAACGAAAGAGGGGGGCTTCAATTCAAGATGGGCTTCATTTCGAGATTAAGCCCACTGGGTTTTAATTTGAGGTTTTACTGTATGAGACATCCTAAAAAAACAACACTTCCTGTCAACCATTTTAAACAGATCACTCTACCATTGATTTATAGTTGAGAAACATAAATTTAAGAACAGTCACAATGGGAAATAGAAAAGCAAAAATTTTATTGCCAAATTTGGTTGTGTTGAGTTATAAAGAGCATTTACATGTCACAATAGAGAATAGCAGTTTTTTTTCCTTATTATTAAATGTTGTTTACTTCTGTAATTGTTATTTATTAATTAATAGCAAGAAAAATGACACTCATATAGCTTATTTTTTTTAAATAGACTGAAACAAATTTTAAAAGTGTTATTTTATTTAATAATGTTCAAACAATAGACAGTAGAATTCAAGAGTATTCTAAATAATTTTGTTTCTATTTTTTACATGACAAAACTAATTTTGAAAGTAGAATAAGACAAGGTAAAATACAAATTATTTACTTACATCTGAATTTGTCACTGATGGACGCTGCAGAGAGAGAAGTATAAAGGAATTTTAAAAATAGACCATTTTATCTGATTTATTTTGAAACAGCGCCGTCAACGTCTCGTAACTCACTGGGGGACTTCCAGCGGCCTAGCCTAAGCAGCTGGCTAGTTATAAATAGAGCAGTCGGCTAATTACAGATAGAACGCCGTGCAGCGGATAGCGCCGCCAGACCTGTGCTATAGCTGCAGTAGACAACAGATACAATCTTGCTAATTACTGTAATTGCTGTATATGTATATATTAAAATAGCTTTCTAAACTTAGACTTGTTTTTAATATAAACATTTTATGCTTCTTCTTTTTTAAAATATTTGTGCTCGTCAGTAATTTAGTTTTATTGTTGATTTAATCCATGATTCCATGATGTTAACTATGTAGAGTGAATGCTAGTCCTCTGAAAGTCCCCCAGCCGTAGTTGCCAGATTATTGGAAATTTTCATGTTAAATTTCGCGAAAATGGTCTATACATGTAATACTAAAGATTGGCATCAATACTCGGCTTTATTTTGTGAAATTTATATAAAAATAATATTACTACTACTATTATTATTATTAATATTATTACGATAATTACTATTATCATTAAATTTTCATTTTTATGATCATCATTGTTAGTACTAAAGAAAACTGTTATTTGTGAATGTCACTAAATTATATAATAAATATATGAATCTTAATTTTGTTTGTCACACGGTGTTGCTTCCTTTACTAATACGTCATCGTCCCTTGATGAATAGTTGTATTGTTCTGTTCTGCCTAAAAGTTGTTTTCACAGCATTTATATTACTCCCTAGGTTTTTTCCAATTGTTCCTGTCTCTGTGATATTGCATTACTCATTGTCACAATGCTGTAATTTTGGTAAACCACCAAAAGGAAGGGGGAGGGGAATACACCAAATCAGATTTAGTTTTAGGATAGCAAATGATAATAATAATAATATGTTATATTTATATAGCGCTTAATGCCAACAAGGCCTCTGAGCGCATCACATTACTACCCCGACCATTGGATTTGACGCGTATGTAACACAATCTGTTCCATAAGTTGCAGCAGCTACATCAGTGCATTTTGGCATTTAACCCTACCAGGTACCCATTTATACTCCTGTGTGGTATTATTATCATTTGCTATCCTAAAACTAAATCTGATTTGGTGTTTTTCGATCCCCCTTCCTTTTGACGGAGAGAAGCAATGTAGATAAATTGCCTTGCCCAAGGACACAAGTGAAATGTACAGCGAGGGGATTGAAACTCCGACCTCGAGGTTGGGAAACCAAACTGTTCCCACTGCGCCAAACCACTTCAATGATAATATAAAATCTGCCATACTGCATGAAAATATTGTTCCTTTCTCGCTATTGCTTATGTTAAAAAAATTTTGTCTGTGTTGTCTTGCCATTTCAACACTACAAAATTGTATGCAACAAATATTTGTGGATTATCCTTATATGGCATGATGATGTCATATCACATTCATATTTAGGCATGATGATGTTATACCATACCCATAATATATGGGGAAATCACATGCAATTATCACATAAAATGTTAGAAATTGAACCATAAAATTTAATATTTAGATTGCTTACTTTCCCAGTTATAAAAAAAAATGTTTTCCTTGCTAATGCATAAATTACACAGCCCATCTTTGATTTGGAAATTTAGTAAAAACTGAATTGATTTTATCTGTGGCTCGTTAGAGGTTGATATCATATTCAATCCTTTAAAAAGATCAATTCAATATTAAATGATTTATAAAGAATTTTATCTAAATTTTATCACAGGCAATATTATGTTTGAGTATTGTTTAAGAAGTTAATGTGAATTAGACTACAGCTATAATTATAAACATGATTAATAAGATTAGGCATGGCTTAAAAAAGGATGGCATCGACATGATAATGGACTATGCAGCTACAATAATAATCTTTTAATATGTTAGTTAATTTATGCAAACAATTATGCCAAGACAATAATTAGTAAGGAATGTTAGTGCAAAAAGTACTAGAACCTTCACCAAAATTCTATTTTAAACTATAAAACTCACATCAGCCTGTAACCGTACAATACACAGCAAAAATTGCAAGCCAGTGAAAGAGTTCATAGGAAATGGAAAAAAAAAAACCCAAAATAAACTAATAGGTTAATAATAAATTAGAATATGTATTACCGATACTCATATTGTAGGAATATATTTTTAGCTATTTTGTTACTACTATAGTACAGATATTTTATATACAGAAAATAAATTTGTAGCATTAGCATTTTATTGTGCAATTTATAAAATAGTAATATAATATAAGTGTATAAAACTGGTGGTAAGTATTTCAAAAAGTGGTTGAATTTAATCATTCATTCACTTTTATTCTAGATCACAATAAACCCATAGCAATTACACTATAAGTATATTAAACTGTATTTACATAGTATCTAGAGGCACTTTTAACTACAGTAAAATAATTTTCTTATTATTGTCATTAATACAAAATAATAATGCAAATAATACTAATATTTTCACTATATTACATTTCTATTAATATTATGAATACTGACATAAAAACTATAAATTTATAAATATATTTTTGAAATAAAAAACTTACCGAATCTTGTGATGCGAACATTCTAAAAGAAAAAAATACATCATAATTATAACTAGATATCTTGGAATGCATAACACACTGTTCACAAAATGAAATGTAAATGATATTAATAATGGCAAATCATACTAATTAACAATGATTAATCTAATGACGATAATGGCAATGTCAGGCAGTACCATTAATGTTGAAAATGATGATAACAACAACCAGTAAACAGTAAGGATACCAACAGCGATAATAATAATAACAGTAATAACAAATTAACAATAACAATAACAACAACAGAAGATCAATCATCAAAATTAAAATAAACAACCATAAATCAATAACAATTATAAAATTTCGAATTTTAAAATCAATGTTTACATCTAAGTTGGAAGGCACCATAGATGAGATTCCTGAATCAAAACCTATTATTAAAAACTGTTTTTTTTTTTTTTTTTTTCCCCAAAAAGATTTTGTTTATTAATAGGAGGTTCTTGGACTTGAATTGCATTCAAACAGTTAAGACTAGGAATGTTGTACTTACTGATTTTGTCTATTGAAGGTGAACCCCACAAATGGTAAGTTATTTCCCGCAAAGGCCTTTGGAACTGCAAACGTTTCATCAGCTTTGTTGTCCATTTCAATCTCGTCAAAATTACTAGTATCCGCATCATGGGATAACTCTGGCACAACAGGAGGCACGGCTAATATAAATGGAAAACAGCGACAAAATGTAATAATTATTAAAAATCATAGGTTTATATTTAGGTATATATATATATTTTTTCTAAATCACTGTTTCATCTGTATAAACCAATATTTTGATTGGTCAGCAGATGTTGTAATAATTATTGTTATTTGTATACAAGCATGCATATAATGTACAAATTGTTTTTCTTGATGATGACAAAATATAAAGCAGAAAAACACAATATCCTAACACAATGACATGCCAATGACTTAATATCTACCTGATTATCTCAATTAGTCAATGACCAAAACAGAATTTGTAGCAAGATTTGACTAAGATTATATTTTGAAGAATTAACTGAAAATAATATTATTCACTTGATAAAATGGTTCAGCGAGAATGGAATTTTTGAACAATCAACAGAATAAACCAATATATCAACATGTTTTGCTGAAATGTTTTTGAGATTGCAAAAATTGATTCAATTAATAAACAGAAATATTTTTACTTACTATTCCTAATATTGTCGAAAGTCCACATATCATTTTTAAAAAACGACTGTTGTTTGATTTCTGAGACCCCTCGTTTACCAAGTCTTGAGTCCCTGGGGATAATAAATAAAATGCAACAAATTAAATTTAATTTAATAATCAGTAAAAATATATTAACTAAAAACTGAATAGGAACTGAGTATATTATATATTTTCATTTAATTATTAGTTGACACTGAATTATAAACTACAAAAACCTACAGAATTAAAAAAATAAATTTCTCATTAAAAAGGATAAAAACTTCTAATGAGACATGGATTGAAAAGGTTTAAGTACAAAAGATTTATGGAGAGAGTATAGAACCTATATTATTTATACATATATTAATTGGCAAGTGCACAATTTCTATTTTTAATTTAAGGTTAACAACCTCCTTAAATATACAAAGGAAGCACTTTCATTATTGAATTTTATTGTTCACGTTTATTAGCTCAATACCAGTAAGAACAGCATCATAAAACTATAATTCAAGAGAAAACTACATAAAATGAAGAATATAAATGCATGCGAGGTGAAGGGTCATACTAACATGTCGGTTAGGAAGGCTCGGATGAGTTTTTGTGCTTTGAATGAGACTTCAGCATCATCAGGAAAACTGAGCGAATTCTTGTGATCCATAATCTTTGCATAAGTACCAACGAGTGAATCTGCATAGAATGGCGTATCTCCTACAAATTAACATGAAAATAAGATATTTCAATTTAACAACATAACGGATAACTATTTCTATATAATTCTAATAATATATACATACATTTTTTAATTTTTGAAGAGTAAAATAAAATATTAACAACAAAAACACCAACAACAGCTTCAGTGGTAAACCATGCTGATTTTAACTTAAACTTCTCTAGGGCAGTTTGAAAGCTAATAGAAAAGGCTAAAGAGCAATTAACATAATTAATTTTTGATATCAGCATGAAAGCTGTTTGTAACGCATTACAATCACTTTCTATTTTCCGGCAAACCTGCTTTACATATTAATATTTAGACCAGTTATTCCAGTAGTTTCACATATTACAAATTTCATGTTAATAATAATAAAAAGAGAAAGTGAAAGTGAAACATACCAACTAACATCTCATAGAGAAATACACCAACTGACCACCAATCACATTCACGGCCATAATGACCGTCGCCTCCCTGAGACTTGAGGACTTCGGGAGAGATATAATCAGGAGTGCCTACAGCTGTATCAGATCTCACCATTCCACTCTAATAGGGAGAAGATAAGTGAAATAATAAACAAGACTGACAATAATGATAAAAGCTAATCCACCCATTATGAAGCTTAATCAATGATTACACATGGAGAAACTTATTTATTAAACATATTTATTTATTTTATTTAGGTTAACTTATTAGCTGACCTTAATGGTTTATAGAACATCAGATACAACTACTTTAAATGGTGATTATCATGATGATTTTGAGATCTATCTAATTCTAATATTAAAAATGATGAGGTTAATAACTAGATAAGGTTAATGATAATAAAAATGATAATGATATTGAGGATGATGATAATAATCATGAAAAGATAGGGATGGTAGCCATGACAAACTGTAATGTAAAATCAAATTCAAGATTCAAGGACACATTACTGTCCCATTTTAAAATAGAAAATTTGTTTTTCCTTTGCAACAATCTGGGTAAAATGACATGAAAAATCACAAGACAAAACAACTAGGCAATGACAAGAAATAAGATATTAACAAGTTAAAATAGTACAGTAATAAAAAAATCAATGTTTAAAATTGTTTAAAATTTAACCATGTGTACCTCAGAGACAGACCAGTCTATTTTAACAAAGATCAAAACTAATAAAACCTAGCATTTCGCAATAAAATTAAAATTGAATATTCCATCTGGAATAATGACTTCCTGTGTCGGCAAGTATTTGATTTTGCCACTTGTATCCTAAAACCACTTTTGTTAAAAGTTAATTGTAAATGGAATGTATGTGTTTTATCCTTCATTATTGCATATAACTTCTGCTCCATACTATTATTTCATTATTGAATCTAGTTCAATATCTCCTTTAATACACCATTTGCTCCTCCAAAAATTTGTTAGAATTGCTCCTTGGTATAGTTAAAATTATTACCATAGTTGCAAATTAAAGTTAAAAATTAGGACACTTTGTATAACTGCTTTGTAAAACAGTGTTAAAATGATATGATTGACATTGAAAGCTTTCTTAGGAAGTTGTATTGTCAATTGTACTGGAATTTGGCAGTGGTGTTATATCTGATGTTTTTCATGTTATTGGTATAATTCCCGTATCCACTGGACGTTGAAATATTCTAGTAATGAGGGTAGTTCAATTGTTAATTGAACCACCTTCATATAAAACAAAAGTATATCATACCTTATCCATGGCCATACAAGTGCCAAAGTCTGCTAGCTTGAGGTGGCCATTGGCATCTAGCAACATATTGTCAGGCTTCACATCCCTTGGTAAAAAATTAAAAAAATTATATTATCAAAATTATGACAACAATAATGATTGCAGTTGTCATATTATGGTGTACACATCTATACATTACTTTTTAAAAATTAACAATGGTACAGTAAAACCACTTTTATTATACAGTAATTCATTAAGCTACCAGCCATTCATCTACAACAATTCTGTCTATTACTTGCCATTGTGCAACGATGAACAACAGGTAGGAATCCTGCCATGTTTAGGCTGCAGTAATTATTTTGCTTGTTTAATCTATATTATTGCTATTAATGCAATTATTTTGTGTATGATAATGAATCTTAGAAGCCAAGATTTGTTGCTAATTGTTGATTACAATAAATATCTTTAGGGTTTTAATTGTTTTGGTCACACAGACACTATAGCATTAGTAAATGTTGCGCTCTAGATATGGCCTCATGGAATAACATAGTCTGACTGCACAAGCATCTGTTTGTAAATGAAAAAAGTTAATTCTAATTAGAGGGATTGATCCTTTGATGAATACTGCAGTGTTAATATTCACAATTTTTATGTCATAAAAATAACTGTTACAGTGGTCTGAGCTTGAAGTAGACTGCCATGTCTTACTAACACTAATCCCTTAAGGATTAGTGAGATTTATAAGGGATTAACTATTTGCCCAAAGGAATGGTCATGAAATATATTTCAGTAGCTGGAGCTGATCCAGAACTTAGGGACTGGAAAGCTAAAATGTGTTATATGCTAAAATATCAATTTACTGGATAATCCAGGATTCACAATAGTTTATAATATTAAATAAAATTTAAATTAGATGCTAGCCTTCTAATTCAAATTCCATTAATTTATATCAATCTATTCTTTCCATTATTTTTCATATTACAAATTTGTTTTCTGTTATTCATACTTAAAATCTATTGTAATGATAGAGTATTTAGATATTTCCAATCCAAATTTGTTTCATGATTAGACTTATACTTTACTATTACTTTAAGTGATAATATATAAATGTTACTACATTGGTTATTATGAGACACAATCTACACTAGTTCCAGAAAACAACTATTAATCATTTTATTCAAGGCAGGGATCTCAATGGTTTGCTGTTAAGGATTGCAAATATGCAAACATTGTTAGTCGCTGGCTAGTGTTTTGCATTTTTTTAAATTAATTTATACTAAATTAAACAATCATTGAATTTACGTAGATATGTTATGCTGTTGCAAAAACAAATTATTTAAATTGAATTCTGACATAAACAATGTAGAGCCATATACCTATTTTGTATGTTATTGCATTCTATGCATAAACAAATAAATATCAATTTAATAGCAACATAAATAAAAAGTGCCATTTATCTGTTTTAATATGTTATTACAATCATCTGTACATACAACAAATGTTTACTTGAATTTATTCTCAAGGTCTTGTGTACAATTCTGGTAATTTTTTTTTTCTCGTATTAAAGACAATCTTTATTTCTGAGGATAATATTTACAATAGACTTCCTAAGGTAGATGGGAAATATATCAAATATAATTATTTGATTTCTTATTTAGTGAAATGGACTCACAAAAAGCATCTTGGCAAAAGAATTTCTTTTTAATATAATTTTTTTTTTTTTGCAAAACATGTTAATCATCATCAAAAGTTGAATTTTATCAAACAGGCTGTATTCATTTTTTTCTCATTCTTATCAAAAATGACACACCATATATTGATGCTCTAATAAACAAAACCTCATTGAACCTTAGGGAGTGGAGTTAGTCCTAAGATAACATTGTGGTGTTGTATCCAGGTTTAACCCCTGCCCCCTGAGACTAGAAGTGAGGATCTTTACTATAGCTCTACTCAATCACATTTTCTGTGTACATATTTCTGAGGGGGTGGGCACACATATGACTGTAGGTATGTCAGTGCATTGTGTACATGAGTTGCAACTCTCTCAAAATTCATCAGCTTGGATATAAACCAAGATTTGTTTTTAAAATAATAATTTAATGAAATTGAAACCGAGAATCAGTGAGAAACTGAACTGCTGAGAAAAATGTTTAAAATCATTATTTTTCTCAATATACAATTTTTACTTTTAGTGGAATCATGAATTTATCCTATCACTTTATTTTTGTATAATAATGTTAATTAGAAGGGGATTTTTCAAATTCAGAACTAGAACACATATTTCCCAGGGGATTCAGTACTTTTCTTTTGTGCTTAAAGCCCAATACTGACACCTACAATTTGATTTCTCAAGGGATTATGGTTTCAGTTCTCTCACCTGTGGATAAAGCCCATGGAATGAATTGCGTCGAGCGCGAGGACCACCTCGGCGGTGTAGAACCTCGCCCATTTCTCAGGCACATCATAGTTACTCATAAGATTGACAAGGTCACCTCCAGGCATATAATCCATTATCATATATAGGAACTTCTCATCTTGGAACGCATAATGAAGCTATAAAAAAAAAAAAAAAAAGCATAAAATAGTTGGAAAATGATCGACTGACAAAAAAAACATCATTTTTCGTGTACTGAAAACTTAACTTGGAATGTGTTGAAAAAAGTGATGATTATTTATGAAGACCATTAAAACAAAAATTTCACATATTTTTATTCAGTTAAGGATTAAACTGGTAAAAAAAAAAGATGTAAAAATACTTTTTTTGTTATAATAAAGTATCCATTTTCAACATATTTAAGTTTATTGATGTTCTTTATCATCAATCAATTATGCTAAAAATAAATATATTAACATAATATTTTTTTGAAATCCATTATTAGAAACTGTTAACAATACACTGTTAACATTTTAAAAAGCATTTTAGCATTAAATGAGAGAATAGAATGAAAGGTTTAATTAAATTAAAAAGTTATGGCAAGACTTTTTTATACCTTGTTTAGCAATCCCCCTACTAGCCAATAATGATGATTTCGATAAAAATTATAATTTATTTTTGGCCAATTAGTGCACCAGCCAGAAATTTAAAAAAAAAAAAGTTTTTTATTTATATGTCTGCCACTGCCTTAAAATCTCCAAAGATAAGATATGTATATTTCTTCCTAATTACATAAATTCAAAGCATTTAACCATCCCATTACTACACTGTTTTCATTCATTAATAACATTTTATTTTTATTTTCTCTTCCATCTGGATGCTTTTGGCAAAACTACTTGCTAAATAAGAAAACATAATTTTAATTTCATTTTTTCAGCACTCGTCCGACGAACTTAAAAAATAAGTTCGCAAAAACAAGGTAAAAAAAAAAGAGTTTTGCCTTAGGATTCACCAATCCAGCCACCTTACAATTCTGTGATGAATCGTAACCACAAAATACTGTTATTACTATGGAAAAAAATCATATATTTCCAAACTAGCATTTAAAACAAGGAAGGAAACACCAAGTTGGGTTGATTGAATATACCAGCATTAGCAAAGGTTCAAAGGTTAGAATCATACAGCATCAAAGAAAATATGACATCAGTCAAGACCCAGTTTACACTATGTAGTAAGATGTACTTTAAGGTAGTTAGCACTTGACTACAAAGTACAGTACCTAAGGTACAAACAAGTGTAACATTTTCTAATTTATAAAAATAAATCTGAAAATAAACACCCTCACACTTTAACTAAGACATTGAATCTCCTCATTTAAAAGATCAAATAAATAATATTTAAATGGGACAGATTGAAACAAGCTCACATTTAAAGACATTTTCCTACCAATACCCATCAACCAGCAAATAGGACATAAAAATATATGAACATTATTACTTAATACTGTATGCACCTATTAAATGGCGAGGAGAATTTTATCTTTTTAACTTTTATTTTAAAGCTAACTTCTTGCCTACTTAGTACTGAAAGTAAGCAAATAAATAGAATTTTTAAGCTGAACAAAAAAGTAGGCCTATCTCTTTTAAATTACCTACTCCATAAATAGGATACTCTAACATCTGTACATCTCTACACATTCACTAACAGTTAACTTTTAACACACAAGTATTCTAAGTCACTTCAAAGCAACACACTTTATGACTCCTAAGAAGTATTCAGAGATTTTGACCTACTTTGCAACTCCTCCCTTTAACCCCCTCCAAACACAGAGAAGAATGTGATGTAATGTTTCAATAATAAAATTAGCTGTCATTTCCTTATTCCTACAACATTTGCTCACAGTTAACCTTGCAAAGAGAAGGATATGTTTTGCAACATACATTTTTTTTTTGCAACGAAGATACTAGCTTGGTTGTAGATACAGTTGTAGAGTAATATTCTAATTTTTTATTTTTTTATACTTTAATACATATAATTTTGTTTTTAAAGTTCACTATGATGCAGCTGTTGAATGGATGTGTTCATCAGTGTGATAGCTAAGGGATGGCTACCATCATCTCTTGGCAATTCCAGACGCTGCCACTGTAAACGATACCAGAGTGGCTACATTCTTTTGGTTCAACTATCTAATATCCTTTTTATTAAGAATATAGAGAGATAATCTAAGCCTAAGCAATTTCCCAATGGAATCACGGGAAATCAACTTGAGTTGAATGCCCTATCAATACAGTGGAATGCCTATACAAAAGCCGCTTCCTGACAACACTGAATTAATTATCAGTCTGTAATAAGATACAAATCATGTATTTGCTGCGGAGCAGCCAATTCATATTCTTGACAGCAATTTGACATCTGAAAGGTCATTGTTTGTCAAAAAAACAAGGGCTTAAGACGACTGAAAAGCGGAGTTTCCTTCTTTCATTCTGCCGGGTAAAATCAATTACTTTAGGTGACGTTTCTAGACTACCTACACGTACCAATGTCCGCATGTCGCGACGCTTGAGTATTACTATTCAGCGTTTTTAATTTCTAGGTTTCCTATTTCTGCGTTTAATCGGCCCATGTCTCAGCCACAATATTTTGAGGCCAATATTATTTACGAACCCAGTTTAACTTATTTACTAGCCTATTTCAGCGTGCTAATTATTACATTAGGCGACGGTTGTTGTAGACTGGCATACACGCTACCAACGCTCGTTTTTACTATGTTTCTACGTAAGCTCGAGACGCTTGAGTATTACTATTCAGCGTTTTTACTATAACCAACTCGGCCCAAGTCTCGGCACAGTATTTTGAGGCCTATAGTATTTACGAACCCAGTTAAACTTATTTAATATGTCAACGTGCTAATTATTACATTTTAAAACAATAATTAAAAATGTATTATACTAGGGGGCCGCGAAACTGTGGCCAAGTTGACTCGAATTCAATCATGCTTACGTTGTGTGGTGCGTTGGCAGTCAACTCGCCTCTACAAACTCGCCCCTAGAAAATTCGCCGCCTTGAAAACTCCCCATACTAAATCATCTCACCAAATAAAAATCCTACTCTAGGCCTAGTAGACTAGCTAGGATGGTATAGGCCTAGGCTTGAAGGGACGAAGGTCCCAATGAAAAACAACGTTGCTCCTTGATAGCTAACATTGTCCATTTAACATCACAATAATTCACGCACTTGTGATCAAATAACACGCTGACTCGCACTTTGGCAACACTCTTTGGCAGCCAACTCGCCCCTAGAAAACCCGCCCTTGGAACTTGCCCCATAAAAAAATGTACACTTCCTAGACCATGCAGTCTTCAAAATAAAAATTGTAACCTTTGGTAATCAACTACATTTTCCACATACATAGACATTTTTGAAACTTTATTTAAAAAAACCTAAACCATAATTCAAAATTACGACTTTGTTACCCAATGAGAAGTGTTCTAATATAGACAATGGGTCGTGTCTCATATTATTTGTTATATTTTTATTATTCATTATTTTCACTTGACTCGCATAAATAATTTTGTTCGAAGAACATTTATATGCAGTTGTACTTTGCAGCACTTCACTTGCAATTTGCAATTTCTAGTTGTAATATTTATTAACGATGAACCAGAGACTAGCTTACAGAAAGGAGTCACTATAAGTCGATAGAACTCTGTAATTCATATACCGGTATACTCACAACTTCTGCATGCCTTTGAAAATTGTTTTATTCATATTAATGTGAGAGGGCCCTGAATATGAGCTGCCCTGGTATAAGCTAAATGGGTCATCTTCCATATACAAATTGATTACTGTGCAATGAAGAAGGGAGGGCCTAGCATATCTCAATCGAAGGAGATATATACCTAACTAGCCAGATACACTCTGGTATTAATCCAGCAAAAAATGAATTGAATTGCTTTATATTTACAAGGATCCAATAAGTTAATTTATAATCAGACAAAAGTGAACAGGTTTTTAGCTTAACAGTAACACAGTCATTTCATCTTTAATTAAGAATACCAGGTTTGCTACATCATATGTGGCTGACACTACTAAGACCCAAGTATACACACACCTCTGCGGTGGAATGCTTAGAATGAGTGAATAATGAGGTTATGATGGATGGGGGGCATTATGAACATACCTACTGATGATGTCAATGAATCAAAGGTATGTATGTGCTGCTTCCAATGTCAACAAAATGAAATTTATATGCTAAGAAGGAAACCAATACAACTTTAATCAGAATTCTAAACAACATTTTGTAAACATGAAACACTATAGGTAAGGTCAATGACAGACACAGCAGAACTCAGGCCTAGGAAGGTGTTAATCAGCAGTGTCAGTACATTCCATGTTTCTAGCAGTGCCATATTTAAGGATGCGCATAGACAGAAGCACCTCAAGCCACTCCCCACCCCACCCCACCCGCCACCAACAAAGAAAAGCATGTACAGAATATCAATTGCCTAATGATTTCTAGTGTAACCTGGTACATCACATGACCGAGCCCAGTTAAGAGGCGGCCTCATAACATGGTTTATAATACGGCATGACGTCTCATTCAGTTGGTAACAGACTGTATGCACAACTTTACAGTAATTACTCAATATTGTGAGACCAAATGTCGAGTCTCTATTAATAGGCCATTGCTTTGTTTCTGCTTTGAACTTACCTGAACGATCCATTCACTGTTAGCATGTGCCATTATATCTCTCTCCTCCCAGAAAAACGCTGAATCAGATCGTTTAATCTACAGCAAAAAAACAAAAAAAAATTTGTTTATTGTTTATCACAAAGACATATACTGTATAGTACTCACATACATTATGCTATAAAAAAAATATTATATCAAAAATTTATATTAGGTTTATGCTTGTTATTAATATTAAATCAATATGATTACATTTAAAAGCCCAACATTCCTAGGTGTTTACTATATATGGTAATGGCTTAGCTTAAACAGTGGCCACATTATTCAACGATTCAAACTTAAGCTTTAATATCAATATACATATAGCACCCTCTATTGTCAGCTAAAATCACATAAAATAGCTGACATGTACTAAAGATTAAATGCTCCATTGATTTCTCATTAATCCAAATACCTAAATGTAAGCAATTAATCCCCTGAGAAATGTTAATTCAATAGACAATTGAGGGCTGCTTTCTATCAGTCTAGCTCAAGTTTAAGCCGGAAATATCAAAGCCTGTCTATTGAACACTACTGTATATGTTCAATAGAAAACTCAAAATAATGTTTATGAAGACAATGTTGAAAAGTACTGTATGTATTTATCTGAACCCCCCACAGATTTGTAAATGCTTCTAGTATTTTCACTAATAGTTTGTGAAACCTTTAAAGTACTATCTTAAATAGATTCATGGCAAATTATTGCCATAGAAAATTGTGTGGATATGTTTTATACACTACTGTAAGCCTGGTTGTAACAGTTATTGCTGAGGACGCAAAAGAAAATTTGGGTGATTAAAAAAAATTAAATAAAAAAATATCCAAGCACTGCTATATGGGCATTAAACATACTGTCTAGATTATTCTCAAATTGGCAGCAATATGCAAACTGTAAGTAACTTAAGATACTCAAATAGCCACAATATCAGTGCTTGTTCAAAAGGTACACTCGTCTCTGGTGGTGGAACAGGTACATCTTTGAAGTAGGGGGTCTACCCAGGTTTACGGGTCCTTACAGCCCTGTTGTGAACAAACGGGAGTAGCTGGTGCCGCTTTACCGCGTAGCTCAGACACGAAGGGACCCTTAAGGGAGGAGAAAGTTACTGTACAAGATAGTCCACACCTTGAGCACTTTGACTTTGTTATAAAGCGCTATCTAACTACATTAAATTATGTTACAGTAGACGTACCATTTCAAACTTGCTTAACATTTTCATAGCGTATACTTTCTTAGAACCCTTTTCCCGCACCTATAAAGAAACAATAGAATAATGAATATAACATACAAAGTATAAAACTATACAAAATTAGATATATGTATATAAAAATTATGTGATAATTATACATCAATTTTTATGTACCATAATTGATTAATAAATGAATTGTCACACAAATCGAGGCCAGCATTACAAAAATGCATAAAAAAATTATACAATAACAATTAACAGAAAAGTACAAACTGTTTATAAAAGGTCAAGTTATATTCAAAAGAAGTTATTAAAGTACTCATAAAATTTGAAACAATCATCATTTTCTTAAATAGAAAATGGAAGTAAAACCTTAAAAAATATACCATTTTAATTGTAGTAATTAAAATCAGTTTATTTGTTAACTGCATAATATTTTAAACTTTGATGTGAACTTGCAGAAAGATTGTGCTTCCTGGTTATAACATATTTCAGAGTTCATTCTCCTTTTAATTTCCACTGATGCCTTTTTTTTAAAATTATTTATATATTAAACAATCCAATATAAAAATGCATACAAGTTACAAAACATGATACATCAAACAAGTCATATTGTAAGTCATTTTTATAAACTTTTTCAAATGTTGATGTTTTAGTTTAGGTATAAATTTATTCCGTTTCATATCTTGCATATTTTTCTTCCGTATAATACAGTAATTGTTATTCAGATACAGTAATTTTCATGATTTATGTTGCCTTCGGAGTGTTTTTATACCAATAAATGAAATGAAAAATAGAAGCAAAACAACAAACAGGAATTCAGCTTGCTTACAACTTGGACTTCACCAAATGCCCCTCTGCCAATAACTTTATGAAAAACAAAATCATTTTTTCCAACCCTCTTCTGTTGCACTATAGAAACTTGATTGCTATCTGGAAAATTAAGAGGGAAAAAAAATCACATGAATCAATTTGTACAAGTACATAAAAATTAAGGTATACTTATAATTTATTCTTGTGTCAATGTGAACATTCCTTGTTTACTAGAGATAAGGGGAAAGAGATGTGAGATAACAAGACAAAAATATGGTTTACTAGAGATAAGGGGAAAGGGATATGAGATAACAAGACAAGATTTAATTGGAACGAGGTGAGATAACTAAAAATTGCAAGGGATGTAGAGAAAAATTAAAGTTGTAGAGAAAAAAATTAATTTGTTTTTGCAATTTTTTGAAAAAATTTATTATAGCATTCACATCATTATGACTGCTCCCTGATTAAACCAATAGTGCTACAACATTTTTTTTCTTTCATACTCATTCAGTATGAACTGTATAAACGGGCATTAGAAATGGTATTCATGAACTACTTCAAATAACTTTTGTTTAATCTAGCAGGGAATCAACTTTTACGATAAATTACACAAATATTTATTGAGCAACATTTAACCTAATTACTATACAAAGATTAGTGGCGCAGAAATGACAACATTTTTCTGACCTTGTGTTAATACAGGGCTTTCACTACTTATGAACATGACGTTAGAGGAAAAGGAGGGAGAGATGTGGATTAAATGAACCCATAAGCCATCTCCAGGCAGACCACAGTAATTATAGTATAGCTAGAAATGATGACTGGCCTTATTGTTTGTTAAAGTAAAGTTCATAGCACTGTAGAACTACTGCGTGAGACTTACAACGTGATAGGAATGTTTCAACGTTTTTACTCCTCTTAACAGCTGGAACATTGCAGTCATTCACCATTGCTGCCATACCATCCTACAAGGCAAGAAAATAAACCATCTTGAATTCGTAATTATTATTCCAAGTCAGAGACCATTACATTACAACAAGAATTCTAACTACTTTAGGTTAGAGGCCTCATAATTTTATCAGTAGATAAACTCACTTGATATAAGAGCACAGCAACAATATTTGGTTCAGAAATAAACCATAACAGCAGAAAGACAAATAGTATTTTCTTTTGAGAAAATGTAGTAAAGTAACTGTCAGAGTAATTGGGTCATCTGATATGAAATGATATACTGTACCATGAGTAATTGAGTATTGTATCATGAGTTTACCTACTGAATGTCAAAAGTATTAGGTCATGTTTGGTATTGAGTAAATTAATAGTATTGACTGACATTATCATGAGCATTACCCATCACATATTATTAAGTGAACTATGGCATACTTCATACTGCAAACACTGAGTGACTTGTCATTGAGTATTGACTTGATATTAAGTGATAAGCAAAGAATGAATTGTACTACAATCATATTTTAATATACCATAGATACTCAATTATACAATCATGAGTAAGGCATTATCTCAATCACTGGGGTACGCTACTCTGTGACCTAAACTGGGCCTACAATATCATGGGCACTGAGTTACATACCCTCAGTATTTTTAGTAGTCTCATTTAATAGCCACATTTTCGTTATGAAGAAATACAGCAGCATGGATGACACACCACTAACCTACTGTCTACCATCATGTTCTAACTTTCTTATATGAGGTAAGTGTATTATCATAACATGAGCATCAAGTGAAGTATCAAATCAGATGATAATGAACTTCAGAAGTAAGATCCTGCCAACGTTGATGACCTGCGGCAGATGAATAAACAAACACTAAATAAACTGAGCCAGGAGAATCAGACACCATAGAAGGAATTCTTAGGCCAAAGGGATATTTTGGCAAGTAGCAGACAAGAACTGCAGCTGACTCAAAATTGGAGACCTCAAACCAGTAAGCCTAGGTCTCAACAAGCCTAGCTGAATTCATTCCCATTAATTTTCAATGACAACTTAATATAAGGTAATAAATTACTCTCAAAGAAATAGTATGATAGGCTGGTATCTGGGACATGTGAGCTGGAATGTTCAGGATGTTGAGTGTGTACAACGCTGGCTCGCTGATGACATCAATGATGTCAACTTGGATTGTGTGACATTTTTAAGACATAAATTTACCAGTGTCAATACACCAGACAATCCATCAACAGAATATACAACAATCTACTGCAATAACAATTTATAAAACGAGGAATAACATTTACCACCATTAGGTATTGAAAATATAATTAGAGATTTGGAGCTATTTTATACTATATATAGGTTCATGTTTGTTTTAGGTATTTGCTTTCATGTAGGACAGTGACACATAGTTAATTTTACTGTACAGTGAATACTATGTTAATGTCAATTCAGAAACCATAGGGTTTACAAATGGCATTGGCATTCATCACTTTTCTGATATTTTCACGAAATTTAGTTTGTAGAGTTTTGCAAGTCAACTATCTGTCTACCTGTCCATCCAGAGGGACACGGAACTTGGGGGGGGGGGGGGGGATAAGAGACAGGCGTTATGGAGAGTATTGTGTGACCGGAAATAGTCTGCCAGTTGGTTGTTACCATGTGCCAGTGATGTTGGAGTACAGCAAGATGAAACTATTTATGTAATGCATGAATAAAGTTCAGGGTTTGTCGGGTAGTGAAATGATTATTGTACATTTGAAGTGCTCCCCCCATGCATAAGTGTAAGCTAAATTACGGTGATTAATTAGCGAAGATGTGGAGACAATAAATATTTCAAAGTTCCCTCTTTCCAAGAGGGGATGCAAATGCTTTGTGAAAATGAGTACGCCACGGTACTCATTTTCACAAGGAATACACGCAGCTGGTTGGCTAACAATATGCAAATTTACATGAACACCTAGCTAGGAAGAAAGGTGCAATCACGTTCTCTTGCCTAGCAAACGTCTGTACTGTAGCATGGGGGGCTCGCTAGCCTACTGATGTACTGTGTATAGCGGGGGACGATGAAGCATAATATGACTAGGCCTAAGTAGACAGTGCAATTATAGGCCTATGTGATAGAAAGTACACTTTCGAAAGAAATAAATTAAAATAAGAAAGAAAAAAAACTATAGGGCCTAAGAATAATTCAGTTGCAGACATACTATTATAATTTATATGCTAACTATGTGGCTCTTGTAGCCCTAGCTAGGCAAGGCATTCATGTGCAAAGCAGTGGTGTTTGTTTATCCATGAAAAAATCAAGCCGGAAAAGTTTGCCTTACCAGGAAAAGGTGAGTAATCTAGCTTACGACGTATGCATGCTAACAATAGCGTGAGTGTGACGTCACTAAAAAATAAAAATTTTCTATTATAACCAAAATATTAATAACTACAAGGTTTGTGGGCTTAAATTCCCTTAATACGAATTAAGGGTAGCACCATCTCCTTGCCATACAAATTACAGCTCCCATTGACGTCTCAGTCGAGGAATACGGGTAGCTGAAGTTTTTCTCGAAAATCTGACTACGAAACCAAATCGAAATTCACGTTCCACTTCTGACTCTTGAGTTGCTTTGCACACGCCGCTAAGGGCGGCATTCCGGGAACCCTGCATCCAGTTATAAATAATTCTGAAGTACACTTTCTATTAGTGGCAGATCCAAGGGAGACAGCCTGCTTCCCTCTCCCAACGAAAAAACAAATTTCAAAATTAAGTGTGAGAGGGCCATTTCCAACCATCTAGAGGTTCTATAATCATACATTTTCTTACCTCAAACCCAACCATGGTGGTGCTGTGAGGGTATTTACCCCTTAAGTCCCTGGTCCCCCACTATTTCATATACCTGGATACGCCACTCTCTATACAATGTTACCCTGGAAATACTGCCAATCATGTGCAACTGTCTCCCATATCTCTAGAGTACCCTTTACATGTTACTTCTCGTTTGTCAAGCACTGAGGTCCCAAGTTTAAGGTCATGTCATAATTTATGATGGACATACAGTATCCAGAATTTTATCACAGTACTTTCCTCAAAATACACTACATAAAAACCTATCCCACATTGTTTATGTTCCCCAGAGGGAGAGGTGATGAGATTTATTCTAAATGACAACAACAGCACATGTCACTGATGCATCAGTCAACAGTGTCGCATGCGAGGTCAGCACAGCTGCGTGAGCAGTCAACAGTTCCCTATTGAGGGTCAATTTAGCGAAAGGTACCTGCTGTTTTACTAGATCCGACAACAACACACCGGACAATAGAGATGAATATTAATGGTGATCCCTAGGCACACACAGCAGGGAGTGGAATACAATAAGACACACTTCAGTGGGATTATATAAACATCCCAAATGATTGTTAATAAAACCGATGTTTTAGGGTACTAAACAATGGTTTCAAGTTCTCAATTTATAATACGATGTATAAGGTTTCACTGTTTCACTAGATACTGTAGATACAATAGAATGTTACTGTTGATATTTGATATTAAGATTTAGGATAGATATAAACTTACAAATTAGAAATAATTGCCTGGAAATATAGGATTTATAAGATAATCAAAATGATGAATTGACAAAAATGATGTTACTGAAGAATAGTGACAATAAAATGGGTAGTATTACTGCAATTAGAAAATGATATAGTTACTAGAATGAATTTTTTATTATGACAACAATGATGATGTTGACGATCATGGCAGTGGAACAATGAAATTTACTTATTTCAACATTGTTTGTGTGGCTTTTCAGCTAGCTGACAATGCCTAATTTGGGACACTCAAATAATAATAATATAAAAAATTATTAGTAAAAGAAAAATCTACAAATTAAACTTTACCTAGAGCCTAGCAATGACTAGATGTTGACGATGACCACAACGATGGTGAAAATAACTGAACTGAAATTTGTCTTTCGTAATCATGATTGCATATTTTCTGTTCCTGTGTATTATAGGTTATAAAATCCTCAGTTACACATTGGTACAGGCCTAAAGAATGTCATATTAATCTGTGTCAGGAGTGGGTTAAATCAGGTTACAAACAACAATACCAGAATGATTGAGGAATAATTGACGACATTTTTGAAAAGGAAAAAATAGCTCGATCACTTCCTACTCATACTATAATACTGTACACACAGGATATACTAACGATTACCAGTCAATAAGGTCTGTAGTTTCACTAACATTCAATATACAGTAGGTGATTTCCTTGTATTTGTGATCGTAAAAATTTCAACCTCATTAAAGGAAAGGGGACAAAGGCAAGTCCGATAATCAGTGATTTGTTTGTTACTGTCTGTTAAACTGGTTCTTTTGAGTATGAATGAGTCAAATATAATAATGATAGAAGTCTACAGATAATATCAGTAGAAAGTTTGGGGAATTGTTGTTTAATCATTAAAAGCAGGCCGTTACAATAGGCATGACCGCTAAAGCAAGGCGCCAAAAAAAATTTTTAAAAAGTGTTTGTACCATGGTGCTGGTAGACATCGATTTATTTTCTTTATTGCTTTTAATTTAAATTTTAAAAAAATAAAAATTTATTAATTATTATATTTTTTTAAATTTTATATAAATAGTTTAAGCTGAATTTAGAAAATGTCTATTGTAGCCCTATAGTTCTAGCAAGAATTTCCTTCTTTACAATTATCTTGCATTATGCCACAGGGTGTGGGCCTATTCCCATTTGTCTGTTTGTCTACTTTTAGCTTCAATGAGGAGCTCTAGGAGTACCCTGCTGATTGAATAATTGATAGATCTTTTTTGTATGGCCAGCCGCTAGGACCACTAGAACCTCAACAGAGCTTTTGAGAATATGAGAGCTTGTTTAGTAGAAACATTCAACTTTTTTGAGGAAAAAAAAAAGAATAAAAGGCCTCATCCCCCTCTCACATTTAAAAACAACTAGATAAGAATGAGAGATATCTTTTACCAAATTTTTGATAACTACATTTGTAGACATT